TTTCTTTTTTCAAAAACACCGGCACCCTGAGTCTTTCTGAAACTATTATTCGAACTATTAATTTAAACTAATATTCGATTTTTTTTTTAATCAAAATTGTACGGAAGGAATTGTGAATTTGCCGTCTAAAAAAGCAAATCGGGGTGTTTTCTTGAAAAAGGTGAAATTATATGAAATTCAAAAATACTTTCCTGGTATTGCATTACTGAAAGTACGAAGTCACTGCTTTATTATTTTTTCAATATTAGAATGTTCAGACTCCACAAAATTTGAAAACAAGGATGCGATATTTTATCTAAAACTTGATTTTGTTTTTAATATCATTATTTTTCGTTTTTCAAATTCAATAAAACCGTGCAAATAATAGGTAAAATAAGATAACGATACTGATTAATTACAGTGGATTAATCAAACCTTATTTTTTCATCTTTTGTATTGTACGAAGAAACTTATTGCTGTTCAAAAAAACATTTTGCATCATAAATACAATAAAACTACGAGGATTATTTTCTATTTTTCGATAGATAATCACTGCAATGTAAGATATTACAAATCTGGTCATCTCATACGTTTTCATAATTTGTACATAGTTTCTTTACTGGTAGCATGTACCTTTCCTGTAAACTATTCCTAAAATCAATTATATTTTTCTAATCTAAAAACCTGTTCATTTGTAGGTTGGTATATGAACTCTCTCCAAAAAGTAGTCGCACATCTTCTGACGAACACTGAGTGAAAGATGATTTTTTTCGTCTATGTATATTGGTAACCAAGGACGCTGGCGTCATTTCATCTTCCTCTTTTTCTCAGCCTTCGCGGAGCGTGCCATCAGCTTAGCTATTAATAACTATAATTTAATTAAGAAATGTCTGTAGTGTTTCTCCACGCTTTCTGGCGGTGGTTTGATATGTAAATTTTCACATGCCAATACGGTTTATAGCGATTTTCTAGTCAATAAATCCAGTACAAGAATTGCAATCTAAAATATATATTCGTTACTCAAAATTTGTTTAGCTTTTAAAAATAAAATATTTACAACTTGTTTGTTTATGACCCGTAATTACAGAATTGCCGAGAGGAACCTACTTTTTTTAAGGACGATCAGCAGAAATGAAGGACGATTGTATCACTTTTTACACGATGTGTGATAGGTCTGTGAGGTGATTTGATCGTTTCTGTCCATCCTGGCTTATACTCGTTCGTTTCATCCTTCGTTTTAAAAAAATAAATAGCGATCAATTTTGTCTTAACATAGTTAATGATGATGATAATGATTATTTGGAGATTGTGAGACGTAGGTTTTAAAAAAACATTTTCTTTCACACTTCATTTACGTTTCGACCTTTATTTAGATCATCTTCAGGGCCTGGGATTTATAAACATTGTTTAAATTTTAAAAATACATGTAGGATGTGGAAAAAAATGAATTTATACAATGCTAGAAATTTTAGATTCAATCAAAGTATTTGTACTCACTCAAAGTGCTTGTTTTCTGTGTAGATGTGTCATTCTTGTGTGTCGTGTTGAAAGTGCAAGTGAAATATTGATGTTTTATGTTTACATATGTTGGATTGAAGGAGTGGGGCAGGAAGTCGGGAGATAAAAATATATTTTTATATGAGGAATCTCTTTAATGATGATAATGTTGATTAAAGGAGAATAGTAAGTGCGGGATTTTGTTCCACAAGCACTACAGCCTTCTTGTAAAGGCTTCTTGTACTTTTCTAGTTCCTAGAGTAGTTAGTCGACTCTTTCCTTCTCCTAAGAAGGATTAGATCATTGACTGTCATTGCTACAATTCCTTTCACTGGGTTTTCTTTGTCCCAGCTTATTTCTCCACTGAGTAGTCGCGTCGCATTCGAAGAAGATATATGTCGCTTTTTTCCTCCTCGTGGCATAACCTAAAAATGGGTTCATCATTGCATATTCCCATGTTGTGCATATGTTATATCAGGTGCCAGTGACAGGTCATATCACTCCTATGAGTGTCCCTGTCTAACTGTAGCAGTGAGTATGCCATTCTTGGTGAGGGTTGTTTCAGCATATACTTACTGTGTATAACACCTCTGGACTCTCTACTTCTCCTTTTGCCTTGTTTTGGATCCATTCTATGAAGGAGGATTCTGTGTTCCACCGGCCAGTGTGTCTGTTTTTCGTTAACCCAAATTCCCTTGTGTCTGGTTCTGTCATCAGCGTGTTTTCTCAGGTTTTGGTGGATTTGTATGAATTCCTCAGGTACGGCGGGGTGGTGGAAAGAGTAAATAAACAAAAAGGATTTGTATGAATTCACTGACTAGTTGTGTTATGATTTTTTACACGCTAATACTTTAATAGCCACTTGGCTATCTAATCTTATGAAGATCTTTTGTCAGTGTAACATCTTTTAAGATTTTCTAAGAGACGAACATTCATGACATGTATTTCAGCTTGAAAGACCGAGGTGTACTTCCCTAATGAGTTTGATTGTTCATGTTTTGGATTGAAACGCCTGATCCGGTTCTTTCATTTGTTTTGGAGCTATCTGTGTACCATATCATTGTATCTGATGTTCTCCTGAATTCTTCTCCTTTGTAGTCTGTCCTACAGCCTCTGTTTTATTTGCAAAATATCACAAAGAAAAAATTCCATCTTAATTCCATTCTAATTACACTAATAATGTTAATGGAAGACCGTATTTTGTTTAATTACTTTAAAAAAAAAAAACTTTAAATTGTGAGATTTCTCCGTTTTGTCTGCAGAGTGATGAACCGGAAAATTTGGGCGTTACCGATCGTTTTGGTCTGTCTATCTTCACTGGGTTGTTCTGTCGACTACCAGACGCGTTTCGGCATTCCGTCGTCTTCAGTGTGTCTGGGTAATTTCTACGAAATCAAGGATCTTTTATAAAGTGGTGTCCCTCGAGGGGTGGGGTACGTGTGTCAACGTTATCTTTGTCGGTGTCTTTAGTGGATTTGATCTGGGTTTTTTTTTTACCTTCGGTCTTTTTAATTTGTATAGTGCTTTGATAGGTGGTATTATGTGAACTGTTGTTAATTTGTGTACTTATGACATATTTGGTACATATGAAATATATACAAGTTGTCAAGCATGTTCAATTTTGTTCAACGTGTAGTTTCATGCTTGAAGTTTTGTGTGATTTTCTACGAAGTATTTGGGTTTTTCTTCATTTCCCCTCAACGATCTTTTTTATGTATTTCATTTTTTTGCCAGATTTCTGATGTATTTATCTCCGCATTCGCATATTATCGCTATTTTTGTCAAGTGGATTGGTTTTATCAATGTTTTGCCTTAGTAGTTTTATTCAGAAATCGTGAGATGCGGTCTGGTGTGATGTAGGTTTCAGAAAAACATTTTCTTTATCGTGCCAACGTTCCGATCTTTATTGAGATCATCTTCAGGGTTCAAAGTGTTTGTCTTTTGTGTAATTGTGCCATTCTTGCGTGTCGTATTGAGAGTACCACGCCTTTTGTCTTATTGTTTCATTTCACTCCAAAAGATCTGACATTGGTTTTATTAACTCAGGGGTTACACATGGGCCCACCTTAGGTCCTCTTCAATTTTCCATGTACATCAATATTTATTCTGCTTTTACTCCCCCTTTCACAAAAATACCAAATTTTACATTATTCTCACATAAAAATAATTTAAATGGAAATTACTCAACCGGTACAATTTTTTTCAGGTGGGTGTCAGGGTGCTGCCAGAGCAGTTAGAGCTGACGGCTGTGATCAAGATGTTTACATATTTAAATTATTTTTATTACCATAATGAAATCATTGTGGACGGCTGCAAAATCATTTTTCCTATCTATTTCAACTAGCTAGTGTTGAAATACAAATATAAATAAATAATATTCTATTGCACTATTTGTTCCTTTAATTTTCAATCAAATATTTCCTACTTCTTCCTCCTACAACAACCAAAATCAAGCTTTTGGTATTTACTTGCTCAGATGAGCCAACATCCTTCAAAAAGTTTTTAAAAAATCAAAATATTTATAATTAATATGTACAATTTTCTATCTTTTAAACAGCTTATTTATTTATTTTATTTATTTTTTTTTTAGATTTCATCTAGTAATCTGCAAGTGACGTACACTTAGTTTAGTCATATCTGATCATTTTAGTCTATCACACATTTCCTATTCTAGCCACCTTTAATGATTTGAATTATAAATTCTTTTCATGTATGTATTTCATAGGTATTAAAATAAATACCAAAATGTGTCTGACATTTTGACAGATAAGGGGATACATAAATACATAAAAATACACATAAATATAAAAATAAATACAAATACATAAATATAGCAAGGGTAAACAGACCAAAATTATGAGATCACATTACAAATTCTATTTTTGTTTCTTACGAAACAGTAGCAATATCAGCCCTTGACCACTGATGTGCCGTGACTCCCACTTCCTTTAGGAAAGTTCATTGAAACACTCTTCTTTTTTCTTCTTGTTCTTTTTTTGGTTGCATTTTGTTCTTATTATGTTATCTGGAGAATAGTGTTTGAAAAAATTAATTCTGTACAACATGGAATATTGGTTTATTTATTTATTTATTCATCCACTATTTCTTATTTTTGTTTCTTATATAATAGTAAAATCAGTCCTTGATTACTGATTCGTCATGGTGATCCAACTTCCTTGAGTGGAGTTTAATGTAAATAAGAAATGTCAATTTTGCAATCAGGTATGTGAGTTGAAAAATGTATCACTATTATATTGACATAAGGGTTTTTTACTGTTTAACTTCAAGTTGTAATTGAGGTTCATCAAAAACCTTAGAAAAATGGAAAATGGATTACTAAAAAATATGGGTCTTTCCAACATGTTTGGCACTTGAAAAATAAATTTATTAAGTTTTACAAGATTAGTTCCTTGAAGTCTGCCTTTCTCTCAGCCTTGCTGATAGGAAATTTTTTAAATAAAGTTAAATATGCTATAGAAAACAAGTTTTCTAAATGTTAAATTGTGATTTAAAAATAAAAAATCTTTAAAATAATAATTTTATTAAACATAAATTGAATAATCGAGCAATATCTTGAACTCGTTTCATATTTCTGTAAACAAATACAAAATGTATTTCCAATGTATTAAATTGTTACATTTTAAAATGTTGTTTTACCACATTTGATAATAAAAATTAATAACATAGTCCATAAAACAATAACAATAAACTTATGAGCTAATATAAATAACAAACATTAAGTTATATCACATAGGAAGTAAAGTATGTAAGTGGCAAAAGTTCCACACTTATTTAATAAAAAACGTAAAAAGCTGTTTCTGGATGACATGGATTTTTTATACAAGAAAAAATTAAGAATCAAGATCATCATAAAAATCATGATAATTTTAATTTGAGACAAAATCCCAGCATAATTTAGTTTAAAATGCTTGAATTTGATTTACTATTAAAGCTTTTAATTTCAAATTTAACTAACATTTGTTTTGTCTGTCTAAAATTTTATTTACGCATGTGTATGCAAAATCGTTAAACTCTGTAATCACAAGTTCACAATCAAGTTGACTAATTCACCATGAATGCTACATTACAATTTAAAAAATTTTAGCCTTTGTTGGTTATTTCTAGCTTATTGCTTGGAATAATTGGAATTAATGAAAAAAAGAAAATATCACAAGTTTATTTATTCTGTAATTAAAAAAAAAAACTTTTATGACTATAGTCGTGCGATATTATTTAACAAGATACCCTATCATTTTTATCACTTTTGGTATCTAAGATTATTACAGATGAATGAAATCAGTCTTTATTTCTAATTAATAAATTATCTTACTAGATCTGAAGAGATAGTATGTTACCATTGGCGTCCATTGCGACGAGGGATGTCGTGTTTGAAGTTGTTCTTGGTAAAATAAGATGTTTGTGAGGCGACTTGCTCCCCAGTTCCCAACTTTTTAAAACTGCCCCACAAGAAGCTCTCAACTGAACCACCTTCAACCCATTTTCACTAGTCAAGACATTCCTAAATCGTAAAAAATGTATTATTCGGAAATAAATTGTTTATTTGTAACATTTTTACCTTAAACTATCAAAACGCATATCTAATTCAACATCGGTGTCATTGTTGAACCATTTATGGTGGGCGAGAAGTGTAGCACATGACTTTGTTAGATGGGTCATATCATCTTCTTTTTGGTTTTTCTTACTCCTCGTCTGTGATTTCACTAAGGTGCTAGGACCCAACTGCACAGATAGGCACGGCATTAAGGCTATTTCATCATTTTTATGTTGATTACTGCTCATGGTAAAAACTCTTCCGATATGATCGAATCCGCGTGACATGATGCCAGTAGGAGAATGGCCCAGGTTAAACATATGGCCAATCTCATGGCATACAGAACCAAAACTTGTGCTATAACATCCACCATATGTTCCCCTACAAAATTGCAATTAAATTTTATTATTAATAAAAAAGGATTTTTATAAGCGTAGTTTTGTACTGATATCAATTCATAATTTTAATCTAATGAGAATCTGGTTTTAATCTTTTCACTTTAAAATATGACCAAGGATATATATTTTAAACTTTTTTGCTATAGTTCAAGTCTTTTAACAATTTACATAATTAATTAGACAATGTTGAAATGTTTTAAAATGAGGTTTTCAAACCTAAAGCAACTATTGTCGAGCAGTGAGGGTCCTATTTTTTCTTTACTTGTGAAGCAGTCAACAACATTAGCTAAATCAGTCGGCCAAGTGTGAAGGCAGGCTGAGCCGAGAAGAGCCAGGCCGCCTCCTCCGAGTGCAGGATCTCCCGAAACCGAGCTGCCATCCCAGTACGTACAAGACAGAAACACGAGGTACTTCCTGTGTTCATCGCCCAACTCTGAACACATCAGCTCCCTCCCGAAGTACTCCCAGAGCTTCTGCTCATCCCACTTTCTCGCATCATCGACACTGAGGTCACTTCTGAACACATGGCATTCTGGTACTCCATCATACAGGTCGGTCTCCAACTGGAAACTCTTCCGGCCGAAACCTTGCTCATGCAGCTTCTCAGCGAAGACGCACTGGACCAGGTTGAGCCCTAAAGCGATTCTTTTACAAGCGTTCTCAATGCTGTTATCACATCCAGGTGGTGCCTGGAACCGTCCGTCATGCCCTTTGCAGACTATATACACCGGACAAATGCACAACTTGGTCTCGTTGTATTTCAAATTTATGTCAAGCTGCTTTCGGGCAGTTTTATACTCTAATATAATCCTATTGGAGCCTTGCTTCAATTTAGCTAGACACTTGAAGCTGCCATGCACTACAGGCCATTCACCTTCTGCATTATCATTTCTGCAGAGCAACTTACATCCCTCCTCACAATTCAAAGTCTGACCTTTACACGCTATAGCTCCTTTAATTAAAATTATATTGTGATTTACCGTCTCGTTATCATCCCAATCATGAATTTTAATCTCCATTATTTTCAAGACTGATGAACTGCCCAAAAGAGATGTCCAATTGCCTCATATCAAAGACAAAAAACGTTACTTAGGGCTTTTCTCGGCATTGTTCGTTAAACTACAACTTTTCATGTCACTATAAACATTTTTGAATAATAATATTAAAGATCCGGAGTAAAACTCTGGAAAATCAAATGTCAAACTCTCATATCTATTATCATTTATCAAAATTGTGTGCTATTCGGATTTCAGACTGGTCGAGAAGGAGAATCGAGAATCCTATTGACCGACATACATAGAACCAATCGCAAAGAATGGCGGTATATTTCAAATTTAAATAAAAAGTTGTCAAGTGACAGACCATTTTATACAGTTTGTTCACGACTATACCTCAAATGTTTTAGGTAATCTTAAGCCAGATAAGTTCTAGGTCAAAACCATCTCACTTGTCTTTCACTAAGCTTTTTTTTTTACTTAGATACTGTTTCCAGTCATATCAGCAATGATGATACTGCCTGCAGAACTGAGGAATTTGTTTTCCCATCTTTTGTTTGTACAATACAAAGCCCACATTTTGTACTTTTCTCTCACCTCATCTTGTTCTCCTTCAGCAGCCCTAGTAGTATGGTATAGTAGAAAAGGATACTAGGAACCGAGGTTTGTACTTCCCAGGCACTGCAGCCTCCTGGCCTATTGTACCATCCTAGTTCCTTAGTTCAGTGCAATAGACTCAACCCTTCTCCTTAGAAGTATCAGGTTGACTGTTGCTGCTGCAATTTGATTCCCTAAGTTTTTTCTGTATGTTAGGTTAAACCTCCATTGAGCTGTTGCTTCGCATTCGAAGATGATATGAGTGGCTGTTTCCTCCTCCTCATTACATAATCTGCAAATGGGATCATCGCAGTATATACCCATGTTGTGTAGATGACCGGTTAATAGTCCTACCACTCCTCTGAGTTTGGCCCTCTCCAATTGCAGCAATGTTTTTGCCAGTCTCGGTGAGGGTTGTTTCATCATAAGTTTACTATGTCTAGCACCGCTAGAGTTTATCCACTTTTCCTTTTGTTTTGCTTGGATCCATTCTGCGATGGAGGATTCTATACTTGTTTTTGTTATCCCAAGAATAGGTTCAAGGCCTATGTACAGCCTTGCAGATCCTCCTCTGGCCAGTCTGTCTGCTTTCTCGTTACCCAAAATTCCCCTGTGCCCTGGCACCCAAGATATCATCAGGTTGTTGTGTTTTCCCAGGTTTTGGAGATTTTGGATTCATTCACTGTCTAGTTTTGATGTGATTCTTTTACATGCTAATGCTTTAATGGCTGCTTGGCTATGTGATCTTATGAGGATATTTTTGTCAGTGGAACCTCTTTTAAGATTTTCCAGGGCACAAGCATTGATGGCATGTATTTTTGCTTGAAAGACCGAAGTGTATTTCCCTAGCCCTAGTAGTAGTTTTATCCAAGAAATCTAAACACACCCTTGCTAGTGACCACCCTATTCTTCCATTACTACCTAAGCATTTTAGATTTCATTTATACAAATATCTATAAAACTAAATATATTATTTCTTAATTCCCATGCTCTTATATCCCCTTTTCAATCTGGCTTCCAAAAATAGTTATGAGACAGTCTTTCTCAAAATCTCACATATCTGCCCAGTATTGTTACAGTTCTATTTGATTTTGTACAATGGATTCAGCTCATAAATCATAATTTGCTTATTTAGGAAGTGATGCATCTTTTTGGTTTTTGCTCTATTGCTATTTGCTACTAATCTCCTTCTGTGTGACAAAACTCTTGAGTTAAGGCTTCAAATTCTATCCCCTCTTCTCTCTCAATTTCAGCTGGTGTACCCCAAGGCTCTGTTCTTGGATCTTTACTATTTTCCGTATTTCTAAATAATCTTCCAATAATTCTTAATTTCTCCCACTTTCATCTGATAGTCTCTTAGGACAGAAGTATACAAATCCAACAAAGAGCCATCGCTTGGAGTCGATTGGAAAAGGAATTAGGCTCATAGGACACTTTATTTTTTTTTTTTTCAAGAAAAAAAGCAAAAAAATCGAAAAAATTTGTATTGTCTTTTTTCGATGTAAATCGACCTGCTGAGTCAACTGGAAAAGGAATTAGGCTCATAGGACATTTTTTCAAGAAAAAAAGCAAAAAAATCGAAAAAATTTGTATTGTCTTTTTTCGATGTAAATCGACCTGCTGAGTCAACTGGAAAAGGAATTAGGCTCATAGGACACACACACATACACATATACATTTTTTTTTTTTTCAAGAAAAACGCAAAAAAACCCAAAAAATCCTTAGGTATAAACTCCAAGTAGCAGAAATAATCCTGAGCAGATATAGCCTGGAACAAGGAAAATAACGGAACATGCCCTGTTTTGGTTCGGAGGCCTTCACAGGCTGATTCCTCTGGGAGAGGCCTGAAGTATACATACGGGAGCCCTTAACGAAGCCTTGGGATTTGTTAAAAAACTTATCGACAAGCTCTTAAATAATGGAGGTTGCACAATAGACCAATATTTGTCGGTAAAGTCATAAAGTTCAAACTCCAAACTGTAGAGATAGTCAATTTTTTCCCCAGTTGTGATTGATTTGCTTCCAGAACCAATGTTGTTTTATCACTTTATTCAATTTTAACCTTTATTGTTCAGGAGCATTCGAGACGATCTATAAATATATTTAGCTCAGTACATTTTTTGACACACATACTCACTAATGCTTTTAAAGCATTTACCCATATTTTTATCCAATGGTCATATTATTTTTATTGAAAGTTACTGAAATTACAATAGGCAATAAATTGAACACATTTTTTAAAGGCTCAAAGCTTTTTTTTTTTATTAAACAAATAATTTAAATGTTATTAAATCACAAACAAAATGGCAACAGATCAAATGTATCATTATATTTACACATTTAGTTTTCGTTTAGTACTTATATAATTAAAAAAAAAAAGGAATGAAATTTGGGGACTAGTAATACAATATATACAAATAAAAAAGGCAAGGAATCAATATTGAGATTATTTAGCAAAAGAGAGTGTATAGGATTTAATTCTTATATTTAATTTATCTAGGAATAGCCTCAAACACATCAAGTAGATGTTTGATGTTCTTGATATGACTGCTTAGTTTGTATATTGGAGCCATTGATTTTGACATTTCTTCACACTTTGCCATCAGTTGGTACATCGCCTTTATGTTTGTATCAACAGCATCACAAGCTTTACATACGACGTCTCTGTAAGATTCAAGGCAGTCGACAGTCAGAGCGGATATACTGTGAAGAGTTTCCGCCAGTGCTTCTGTAAGTGAATCAACAGAAGCGGCCAAAACCGAAGCCTCCAGCTCGAGCTCTTCGAGCAGTTTCGCCTCGCCTGTAGTCTGCCTATTCCAGTAAAAATCGGTGGCAGTCGTCGGGCTCGATAGTTTTATCTTCTCTTCTAAATTACCGGCGATGAACGAAATCATTTCACCGTTTCTAGTGATCGTCCCGTCTAATTGTTTTAAGAACTCCTCCGGCTTCGAAACGTTCTTAGATGATTCGGGGAGTTTGAGGACCTGTGGCCTTTCGAGCGGAAGCTCCTCACACCTCTCCAAGTCATCGTCAGGGCCGTCGCAAATCTCCGAATATGATGCTGTCATTTCATCCATTGTTACTATACAAATAAAATTTTAACATGTAAGTTGCAAAATAATGTAAACAATAAAGTCACATAAAAAAAATATATCTGGGTTTCACTTAATTTAACATAACACAAAATAATTAATACATGTTATTAAAATGTAACTGCATTTTAGGACAATTATATGACTCAATTCTATTTATTTTTTTTTTTTTCTCCTGGCTGTTTTCTTAGTGTAGGGTTGTAGAAATTTAAATTTATTCTCATTGTAGCGCTTCAAACCTTTGACCAGCTTCCTCTTCAACATCATGTGGGAGATCTTTTACAAACTCAGACAGTCAGAGCTTCAATGAGAATAAATTTATATGCCATATGAGTTCAATAATTACATCCCTACACTGAAAAATTAAATAAAAAATTTCCAAAATAATTTTAAAAAAATTAAGTGTCACCCTGGAGTGCATTCATACAGAATATTATTTTTTGTTGATTTATTTTTATTTTGTGGTGATTAGTGATCGTTAATCGATAATTATTCAGAAATCGTGCAGACTGCATCTCACGATTTCTGAATATTTATTTTTATTTTTTAATATAACTTTTTTTTCAAATGCATAACCAAACTAAAAATACTATTTAGTATGAACAAACTCGCAGAATAGTTGTAAAAGTTATTATGAACATGTAGTGCTTCACCTCTTATATATAATTTCTTTTGGGCAAACTTCCTGTTATTAAAGTTGTGCTTCGCATGAATTCAAAACCATTGTTGTTTTTAGACAAAAAACAAATTTTTATATTATTGAGCAAATACAACAATGGGATTGAATCCAATTACGCAAACAGAACTGGCGTTTTTTATATTTATAGTTCCACTCCTAAAAACACATTATTTTCTATATAAAAAAAATGTTGGAAAAAATTATTAAATATTAAATAGATATCTCGATATAATTGGCATCAGCCTTTAATATCATAATTATATATTGAAAACATCAGGGATGTGGTCAAATTGAAATAAAATAAAAACAATCAGTCCCTTCGCCAAGTTTTCAGGAATATATCGATCAGAGGACTTTGAAACTATTATTAACTATTCACAAGGTTAACATGGTTAACAAGGTGAACATCTACTTAAAAAATTGTCAAGTTCAAAAACAGTCAGTATTGTAAGTAGATGTTTAGAATACAATAGTTACACAGATGATGGGGCAGGCGGTAGGAAATTAGATAACATTCTGTCAAATCAGATGCAAAATCCCCTAAGTATTGTAGGAAGATGATGTGCTAAAATGATTTTAGGCATTAACCCTAAGAAAACGTGTCCCATAACCTTTTGAAGAAGAAGAACCCACTATAAAAAATGAAGACTTAACTTTCTTAAGAGTTATATTTATAGTTCCAACATGTTCTTCACCTCTTGGTTCTGAAAACCAAAGGCTCAAATGGAGAAAATACATAGGCAATATTGTACATAAAGCCAAACCCTACTAAGAATTGGATAGAGATTATGCAGTTAAAACTGGGGAATAAACCCCAGGATAGCAACTGGTTATACACCTCAATGGTCAGACGTCTGATCGCCAGGCCAAAAGGTGGCCAAAAAACATTAAACAGTGGCAATACTTACCTGTAGAAATGATGAATGGTGGAGTGAGTGCAGTATTCAATCCTTTTTAAAAAGATAGTTCCTACTCACAGTAAGTTGTTTTCAACGATCCGGATTTCAAACTTTTAGCTCATCATCAGGTTGAAGGAGTTTTACAACTGATGAGGAGCTAAAAGCTCGAAATCTGCATCATTGAAAACAACTTACTGTGAGTAGGAACTATCTTTAAAAATAAAAATAAAAACTTACCTGCCTCATTACAGCAATGGAAACCACACTTGACATACCACCTTACATATTATGTACAAAATGTTGTGGCTGTTGAGAATGCCAACAGAATCCTTAAATACAAGGCAATAAAGCCAGAGCTAAGAAGGAGTCACCACAAAATTCTAGAGAAAATTAAATAAAGATAATAAGATGGCTAACATATAAAGATGGATTTTGGTCCTGATAAAATGAGAGAAACTCTCAATTTTGACCGATTTTCCAAGTGGTCATAGATGGACCATTGGAAGAAAGGTAGCCCCAAGGAAGGGGCCCTAATAATGGTACACATATAGATCACAGATGGAACAGGGAGTAGATGTATGGGAGAGAGAAAAACTCAAGCACTGGGCAAAACTGGACAAGTATGAGGCAAGTTAAGAGAACCTTACAAAAACTACTCTCTCTCAGTAGGCAGAATTTGATAAAAATTATAGGTCTCTGTACCAGCCACTGCCCTCTTACTATCATCTAAGGAAGATAGGCTGAGCAGAGAAAGAACATGCTGACTCTACCAGGATGAACCATTGGCACATTTCTTTGTGGATGTGAAGGATTAGCAGTTACGGTACAGCCACTTCGATAAGACAATTCTCACACCAAAAGAGGTATGTGACAAGGAACTGAGGAAAGAGCTAAGGTTTATAAAATAAAAAAAATTTTGATATTTGTTAACCTTGTGAATTATTAATAATAGTTTTCAATTAATTAAGGTTTTGGTTGAGATAAAAAAGTCAGTGTCACGAGCGGGATTCGAACCCACGACTTCGGCTAAATATGCCGCTGCTCTACCACTTGAGCTATCGTGACTTCGATCCACTCAGACCCCAACTTCCCATCTCAACCCCACCTTTTGAATTTTCCCTCCTTTTTGCCATATTTCAAAACTTTTTTTTTATCTCAACTAAAACCTTAATTAATTAAAAAGAATTTATTTGGTCAAGCAGACCACGAAACCTAATAAAATGTAATAAGCTAAATGAAGAATACTTCATTAAAGTTCTCCGTGGCCATTTCATTTGTTGCCGAGAATCAAATATATTACACGACATTTGAAAAATGGCAAAAAGGAAGGAAAATTCAAAAGGTGGGGTTGAGATGGAAGGTTGGTGTCCATGTGGATTGAAGTCACGATAGCTCAAGTGGTAGAGCAGCAGCGTATTTAGCCGAAGGTCGTGGGTTTGAATCCCGCTCGTGACAATGACTTTTTTTTCTCGACCAAAACCTTAATTAATTGAAAAGAATTTATTTAGTCAAGCAGACCCCGAAACCTAATAAAATTAATAATAGTTTCAAATTCCTCTGATAAATTCATTCCTGGAAAGCTTGACAAAGGAACTGAGTTTTTCTTTTCTTTCAAAATGCCTTATCCCTGATTTTTTAATTTAAAAAAAATTAAATAGTTAAGGATTTAATTAAAAATACATATGACTCAATGATGATGAAATGTGGGATATCAAACTCCCCACACAAAATTATTGTTTATATAATGTTCACACTTGATAATCATCATGAATTTCATCACAATGTGTCATTTATTTTTCATTCAATTTATATTTGAAAAATAGTCGCAATCTGCTCGAACTGAGAAAACGATTAATTAGGCAAATATAATCAATAAACAATATTTCCATGTTGATGTTAAATACTGCATCAGTATAGCTTATTAAAATTAATAACCGATTGTTCTACTATTCATTTAATTAGTATATTGTTTAGATTTCTTGACCTTATTCTTTCTTTGACCATGGCACATTTCTTTTTGTCTAAAGCCTTGAGCTTTATTCACGACAGATTTCATTTTTTTTTTTTTTTTTTTTAAATTATTGCTACTGGTTTATTCTGACCACTTTTTGGTTTTCTATAAATAAAAATCAAACAGATAAAATGACATAGCTAATGTGCAGAAAAATAAGTAAAGGTTATTTAGGATTTTAACTATTTAAGATTTAAAAGTTTTTGAATGAAAAATGTTAATAAAGAAGTTTTGTTATAAAAATTTTAAACAAGAATATCTGTTTAAAGTGTTAAACTACATAATTGAACTGGAATAAAGTTAAAAGCCCAGAAAAAGCATTCATAAAAATACGTTCGCAGAAACAAAAACCAATTATGGAATTATATGCAGCAACAAGCTCCTTACCTCTCTAAAAACAAAAAGAAAAAATAATATCACAAATAATCCAAGCCCCGAAGCCCAAAGAGCTGCTTAAATTAGTGCTTTTCGCATGGTTTCTAACTTAACTAGAAAAAAACAAAGCCATTCATGTAAATTGCTACCAAGGCCGTCATCGGTTCAACGCATGGGCTGAGAATCTTCCACCGTGTTAGTTCCAGCACCAGAGAGGTGTACCTTGTGCCTTGTGTGAAACATGTAAGCTCGAACCTCTTCATCTGCTCTAATGACACTATCATCGGATAGGTCTGAATCTCGCCTCAACCTGCCGTATGAATCTTCGTACTGGAGCTTCCTTCTCATAACTATGCTCTTCCCTCTCTGGTGTTTATTACTTTCAATATTGTGTGGCTTGACAATATTAACTTTCGATCTTGGAAGGTCGGGTTTTCTCACTTCGCCCTTGTCCTTTGAAAGCTCTTTGACTAATTTCGCTGATTTCAAGTGTTCTTTTGATAAGGAAAACTGTCTGTTTGTTGATAAAGAGGCTTTTGAACTTCTGATCAATGTTTTCGTTTCAGAGCTTCTCTTTGTTCCTAAAAATAATAAGAAAAGTTATAATACAAATAAATTTATTAATTACTTTATTAAAGAAAAAAACTACCTGTTGATTGTGAAGAAGCTGTTGTATTGGAAGTAACATTGGTTGTACTGACTGTGTCAGTTAATTTTGGTGAATTTTTAATTGGAACGATACAATGTCCAACCCATCCGTTGCTTACTTTTTCAAAACTTCTTAACGGCTCTCTCGGTTTCTTCCCTCTTAACTCATTTGCCTTTTCAGTTGTATTTTTTATTAATTTCTGCAGTTTATGACTTCCGTTTGTAACTTCAGTTTTTACTTTGATCTTTTTTACAGGCTCTGTTTGTTTAGGGGTGACACTCCTCGAATAAGGCTTGATGGGTTTGATTGGAACAACTTCCTTTTTTACCACTTCTTTAGGCTTTAAGGTATTTTTTCTTGGCACTTTCTCCAATGGTTTGTTAGCAGTCCTGACAGGTCTAACGGGCTCTTTTGTATTCACACTTATTTTGGTAATTGAAGTCCTAGGCTTCGGCTTCGGGGCTTTTTCTTTATCCTCTATTTGTTTAACAACTTGTTTTTCTACACCTTGAACCACTTTGTTCGCGTACAAAGGCTCGACAGATTTCGCTCGTTCGTTTGTTAATGTGTGCTCTTCCTTTTCATTGGTCAATGTCTCAGTCATGTTGACATGAGTTATAGATTTTGACTCATTTTCTGTATCTTTACCCAACTTTATATTAAAAGATGACTGTTGCTGTGACGGTGGTTTTGGTTTACTCATTATTTGTCTTTGCTTCAACTGAAACTCGTGCTGTAAACTGTTCTGAATCAATTTGTTTAATTTAGGGCTAACATTTCCTAAATAGCTAATTGAATTCTTTTGTTTGTGAGGCTGTTCTTCATTCTGTTCAAATACTTTAAGCTCAGGAGAAACAGAGGAAACATTTTCTACAGGGCAAAAACTGTTGATTTGAACCTCTTTTGGTTCCAAATGCCCTTTTCCTACAATGATTTTTTCATTAGTTAAATTTGTAACTGATGTTGACAAAAGAGGACTCGGTTCTCTGATCACTGGAAAAACATGCTCGGTTACTTTGAAATTGTCTTCTTTCTCTCGTTCTGAACCTCGTTCCTCATCACCGAAATACAATTTGGGTAAATCGCTGTTCTTTTTATTTACATTCCTTGACCGTTTCTTCCTCCTCAAGATTTGCGTAGGAGGCGGTTTTTCATCAGTTTCAACAATATTGATCTTTCCCGAATCAGGAGCAAAATGAACTTCTGTTTTGCAAAAGCCAACTTTTTTAACTTTCTTTTCTCCCTTTTCATTGGAAGATATTCTCTCTAAAGTACTGACTGCATCAGCTACTTTTCCTTTGCTTATACCGGTCACACGGAAATTAGAATCTTCATCGTCAATCAAGACCAAATTACCCTTGCCAAGTGTGACGACTGAAGTTTTTTTAATTGGACTAGTTTTTTCAGGATTAGGTATTTCAACTTCAATCTTTTTCTCAGGTTTTGGCTCTTCATCGACCACTTCAATTATTTCCACGCTTGATGGGGGTGCAGGATTTTCTTCCTCCGGGTACTCGATCAAAACCTCGTTTTCAGTCTCAGGCCTCATTGGCCTGGAAGGCATCCTGAGAAGAAGAGAATCAAGGTCAACATTTCCTGAGCAAGACCTAGTTATTGATCTAGAAGCTCTCCCGTACGATGTGACTTTTCTTGTTCCACTCTTCGTATTGGCATCCGGAACATCCCTTACAACCATCCATGCTCCTTCTTCCCTGCACTCTATCTGCTGTCTGACTTTAGTGACTCTTGTCATTGTTTTCAGTTCAGCAATCTCTGCCTCCATGTCCCCAAAAGGCGAAAACGGATCTGACTGCGGAAGCCAATCGTCTCGGAGAGCACTCAACATTTTCAAATGCATCTGTTTTTGTTTTATTATTTATTATTATTATTACTTTTCAGATTATTAAATCATTGCATTAAGAAACAGCCTCAAAAACCACCAGTCATTTCTAAAGATATACAATTTCATTCTCCATCATATTAATGTTGTCAAATTAATTTTCAAAATACTGAACAAAATAAATAAAAACCTTGTCATAATCATCCTGCAATGTATGCATCCATTTTCTTCTTTCTGTATCTAAAATCAAGAAGATTTGACATTAATTAATATGGGATTTTTCTTTTTTTTTAATTTCCTCCACAGGATAATGACAAAATTTAAACTATGGGTTAAATAAATGTACTTGTTTAAGAAAATTGATTAAATTATGTACATACTCTTCAATTCCTAATCTAATAGTCAAAAATATAATATTCTTAATTTATTTCTTTTAAAAATCTCATTTACTTGTAATACATGTCAAAAATAATGACACAACAATATAATTTGACTTCAAGTGTGAACAGATAATTTAAAATGACATTTTGTGTGTTTAATTGGTCAAGCGGACCACGAAATTAGTGAATTTTGTGAAATAGTGAACATTATTTCCTCTTAACTACCTGGAGACATATGGACAAGTCTAACATGTAAAGATGATGGATTCCCTGTTTTAAGGAAATTGATAGCAAAGTTAAAACTTTTAGGCCAGAACAAAGTCTTTTGGTATGATATCTGACATTAAAAAAACACACAAAAAAGGTTAATATTGCATAAAATGTGAATAGACAATAATGTTAGGGTGTGACAGAAAAGCCTGTTGGAATCCAACATTAACAATTATTCAGAAATCGTGAGATGCGGTCTGGTGTGACGTAGGTTTAGAGAAACATTTTCTTTATCGGGCCAACGTTTCCATCTTTATTGAGATCATCTCAGGGCTCAAAGTGTTTGTTTTCTGTGTAGATGTGTCATTATTGTGTGTCGTGTTGAGAGTGCCACTGAGCCCTGAAGATGATCTCAATAAAGATCAAAACATTGGCACGATAAAGAAAATGTTTTTCTAAAACCTACATCACACCAGACCACATCTCACAATCTCCAAATAATTAACTAACAGTCACTAAACACCACACACCTTAACAGTTGTAAAATTGCATCACAATTGGGAACATATAAGATGATGGTATGTCAAAAATGTTTTTTTAGAGAACATCCGTCTTCCCCTATACATCCGTCACAAACCTAAGGAATTAGGTAAAATACCTGACATTACCACAGATAGCCAAACAGAGAGTTTAGGTGGGATACCTGATCATATAAAGTTTAAATCCAAAGTTAACAATTAGGATATTTATAATATGAAAGTTGAAGCATATACCAAGACAATATGTCATTGTTTGTTGAGAATCCATTACAAAAATGCGGCATTTAGGTAGGATACTTGACATTACTGATTGTCAAACCTGACAGTTTAGGTGTAATACCAAACATTTCATGCGTTAAATCCGAGTGTAACACTTAAAAAATATACATCACAATTTGGAACTTATAGGAAGAAAAGATGCCAAAAATATTGTTAGGGAGCATCCATCACAAAATTAACGCGTCTAAATGGAACACCTGACATTATATAGCTTAAATCCAAAGTTAAAATTTAGGATATTTACAACATTTGAGCATCTGACAAGACAATTTTTTATTGTAGGCAGCATTGACCTGTGATGTAAAACATTGGCATTTAGGTGGAATACCTGACTTGCAAAAGATAGCCAAACCTGACAATTTAGATGGGACATCTGACATTACCAAATGCCAACTCTGAGCATATAACAAAACAATATGTCATTTTTGTTGAGCATCCAACACAAAACATTTAGGTGGAATACCTGACATTATCGATTACCAAACCTGACAGTTTAGATTCAAAACCTGACGATATGCCTGAATTCCAAGGTTAACAGTTAAAAAATATACATCGCCATTTGGAACATATATTTCAAAAATATTGTTTTAGAAAATATCAATCACAAAACTGTGGCATTTAGGTGGCCACTTGCCAATGAGACAGTTTAGGTGAAATACCTGATAATATATGCCTTAAATACAAGGTTAACAGTTAAAAAATATACAACACAATTTGGAACATATAAGATGACAAGATGGTTCCTACTCATATTAAGTTGTTTCGCAACAATCCGGATTTTGACTTCAATCGTGAGATGCGGTCTGGTGTGATGTAGGTTTCAGAAAAACATTTTCTTTATCGTGCCAACGTTTCGATCTTTAATGAGATCATCTTCAGGGCTCAAAGTGTTTGTCTTCTGTGTAATTGTGCCATTCTTGCGTGTCGTGTTGAGAGTGCCACTGAGCCCTGAAGATGATCTCAATAAAGATCAAAACGCTGGCATGATAAAGAAAATGTTTTTCTGAAACCAGACCGCAACTCACGATTTCTGAATAATTATCGATTAACGGTCACTAATCACCACACACTTTTTTAAAAAGGATTGAACTCCACACACACCCCATCATTTATAATTTCTATATAAGATGACAAGATGTCAAAAATATTGTTAGAGAGCATCCATCACAAAACTGGCATTTAAGTGGGATAGCTGACATTACTGATTGCCAAACCTGACAGTTTAGATTGGAATCCTGACAATATATACCTTAAATCCAAGGATAACAGTTAAAAAATATGCATCATAATTTGTTACATATAAGATGATGATATTTCAAAAAATTGTTTTAGAGAATATCTATCACAACGTTAAAAATTAGGATATTTAAAACATGGAACTTAGAGCATAGGGGACCGCGGTAGCTGAGTGGTTAGCATGAGAGACTCTCACGCCGCGGTCGTGGGTTCGATTCCCACCGTCACCTCTGGCCCTTTTTTCACAATAACCCCCCCCCCCAAATTTGAACACACACATATATTATATAGCTTAAATACAAAGTTAACAATTAGGATATTTACATGCAACTTGGAGCTTATAAGAAGACAGTTTAGGTGTGATGCCTGAAAATATATACCTTAAATCCAAGGTTAAAGTTAAAAAATATACATCACAATTTGGAAGATGTCAAAAATATTGTTAGAGAGCATCGATCACAAAACTACGGCATTTACGTGGTATACCTGACATTACAACAGATAGCCAAACCTGACAGTTTAGGAGGGATAGCTAACACTAAATAGTTTAAATTTACAATTGGGGTAACCACGACATGAAACTTGGAACATATAAGATGATGATATGTCAAAAATATTATTTTAGGGAACAGCCATCACAAACCTCAAAACAGTGACTGACCAGGTGAGATACCTGGCATTATATAGTTTATATTCAAGGTTAACAATTTGGATATTTGCAATATAGTGACAACATTGTTGTTGTAGGGTGCATGTCACAAAACTATGGCTTTTACGAATGTCTGACAGTATGTAGCTTAAACTTAATGTCCATATGACAAGACCCAAACCACGTTGGGTTTTACGTCTGTAAACAGATAGTTTTTATAGTTTTTCCAATGCGAAAAGCTAGTTGTACCGTTAGTTTGATCAGGGTCGATGAATTGAACCTATTGGAAAGATAAAAGTGTTTCTCGGTGGTGCAGAAGTAAGAGAAAACGCGACCACCTGCGTGCACAACTGTGGTTTTCGATTAAAACCGTCTTCGATTCGACTTGAAACCGATCGTTTCTCACCCAGAGACGCAGCAAGTCAAAAATAACAAAACCAACATTCAAGTCTTGTACGTACCGTCAAAATAGAAAAACGTATGGCAGGACGTCGAAGAGATCGGACGAGAAAGTCGGGCCCGAGTCCGACAAACCCACACGCTGACGAATCTGCTTAAAAGGAAATACTGGTCTCCCCCACCAGGCCATCTAGAAGAAAAAAGACTGGAAACAACCTCCGTCCAGACTTTTCTACCTTTAACAAAACGAGGATTGTGTCATCGTCTCTGCCAGTGGGAAGTCCCGATGGTAATCCTTTAAAAGCCCCCACTTACGAGCCGAACGATACCAATTAAATAATACCTATTAGTCAGGCCGAGGGGAAAAAAGAAGTCTTTCGCGTTTCAAGTGGGGACAAGGTTTGATCGTTCTTGAAAATGAGGTCATTTACCTTATCGAAGAAATCCCTCCTTGATACGAATACTAATCTAAAAATCAAAATTCATACAAGAAGTTTCACAAAGGAAAAATACATTTTTTAATTGTCAAAACTTATTTTCAAACTGACATTTTGGACGTTCCGTTTTTATCAGAAAACGAGGTTTCAACTGTCAACAGTCGTTTTTCGAATGGTAACCGTCTCGTCGACTCCCGCCGCTCGTGTTCGGCATTGTTGACTTTCACTTGTAAACAGACCAAGCAGACTGTTTCCAACTTTACATGCTGGAACGTCGAAAATGTACGAAGACAGGAAGGCTTACCTCAGAGATGTGGCCCATAACGTTGCTGTATGCAGAAACAAACTGGACAGCATACTGAAAGCGATCGGCTGGACGCACTCCAGTCTTCAAGTCCAGGTAAATTAAAGAAATTAATCTTTTTAACTAGCTACAAACAGGTGTAAGATTTAAAAGATAATTTACTTAATGATATTACATATATCATTTATTATATATAATCATATATTATATACACTGACATGCAAAAATTTCCACCCACTTGTAATATAATTTGATTTATATATGATTTTAACAAAAGTGTAAATTGCTAAGGAAAATGAAAAATAAAAAAGAGATGGACAGATAAAATGTGTTTTAATACAGGTACTTAGGAATTAGTATTACACCTAATATGTGTCCCTATAATTTAGGGATGCATTTTAAAGAAAAAATTAGTTGTGCTAAATCGGCAGTTAATAGCACCTGGAAAAGGGTAATAATGAATAGGAATATATCTCTTGATAAAAAATAAGCATTTTTAACAGTACAATACGATCCATTGTTTGTTTTGGGGCGCAGATCTGGGGCTTCTTAAATATGAAGGAAGTAGAGATGATTCAGAAATATTTTATCAAAAAGTTGTTTTACCTTCCAGATAACACTCCAGATTATATGATTTATATTGAGACTTCAATCACTCCGCTGTATATTCATACAATGAACCTGCATTTACAGTACAGTAGCAAGATCTTAATCGCTCACCAAGTAGATTAACACATTTCCTAGCCAATGAGATAATAACAAAACAAATATCATGGTTTAAATATCTGTCAGAAATAGAAAGGCAGAACAGTATTGAAATAAATAGAAGCACTCTAATGACGCTCAGTTGTACAAATTTGCTAAACAATCTAGAGGTGAAACTAAGGAATGATATAGTGACTAAGGCTAGGGATAATGTTTACCATAGATTAAGACCAAGGTAACAATATATAAACAAAAATATAAATATTTATGGCAAGTCATTACTGTTTAGAGTGAGGGGAGAACTCTTGCAACTGAACTGCCAGCCTTGGAGGAGCGATTTGAATTTTACTTGCTCAATGTGCAATCTCAATGTTCCGGAGGACACTATGCACTTTTTGGGTAAATGTCCAGTGTTGGGCGAGTTCAGGAAAATATATATAGGGAAAGTACAATTAGATAAGAAGAAGAAGAAAAATAACTTTATTCTGGGACTGGTGTCCCCTAAGAATAATTTACATGAAATAAATAAAGGAAGTTCCTTCTATGAAGTTAAAAGTAAAAAAAAGATAGAAATCCTGGCACAATGTATACCAATAAGGCAGGACAGAAGAAAAAATTACGAGAATATTAAACAAAAATAACAAATGTTAATGTGAGGTCTCTGCTTGGAGGGAGAGGAGGTGATTGTGCAGGTGGGATTTAAAGGAGGAAAAGGAGGCAGCATGATGAATAGAAAGGGGAAGGAAGTTCCAGAGTTTAGCGGCACGGATCAGAATGGATCTTTCGAAGGTATGGGTTGCATGTTGCGGAAGGATAAGGTCGATTGGGGATGAGCGGGTCTTACGAGTGAGATGTGAGGAGTTGAATTGGAGGGATTGGATGATGTAAGGAGGATGACGAGTGTGGATGGACTGGAAAAGAAAGCAACCTAGGAAATACTGTGCACGGAAGGAGGGGAATAGCCAGGAAAGTTGAAAATACAACCCCGACACCCGGGATCCCCGTGGGGTGCCGTACACAAATCTTACGCAACAATTCATAATACGCTTCAATCGCGCGTTCTCTCCTTCCGAGAGACCACCGTATGCCAAACAGCTATAAGCGAAGAAGGGAAGTATAAGGGAAGATACAAGGAGTTTGCGGGTGGAGAAAGGTGAGAAAAGCCAGGACCGACGAAACAGGCTGAGGGAGGCAATGAAATGGCGGGAAATTTGGGAAATGTGAGAATGCCAGGAAAGGTTTTGGTCAAAGACTACTCCTAGGTTTTTACCGAAGAGCAGAAGGGGATGGGATGGTTATTTAGCATGAGAGGTGGGATGCTGGGGAGGGAATTGAGGAGTTGCCTGGACCCAATAATTATGGCGGTGGATTTGGACGGATTGAGGACTAGGGAATTTTTATGGGCCCATTCGTTGATGGAGTTTAGGTCTTTTTGGATCTTGAGAGTTGTCGAGTGAAGATCGGAATGGTGGAAGGATATGTATATTTGGGAGTCATCGGCATATAGGTGATAGTTACAGGACTGGATGGAGTCGGGCAGATCATTGATGTAAATGGAAAAAAAGGATAGGAGAGATGCTAGAGCCTTGGGGCACCCCAGATTTTAGAGGGAGGAAGGACGGGGTAAGGCCATTGGGAAGGGAGACAGCTTGGTGGCAATTGGTAAGGTAGGAGTGGAACCAACGGATGGTGCTGGCGGAGAAGGAAAATGATTCGAGTTTAGAGAAGAGAAAAGAGTAAGGGACAGAATCAAAAGCTTTAGAAAAATCAAGAAGGACAAGTATAGTAACTTTCCGTGTTGGTCCATTGCTAAGTGGAGGTCACTGGTAATTTTTATTAGTGCTGATTGGGTGGAATAACCTTGGCGGAAGCCAGATTGGAGGGGGATACAACCGAGGTAGTAAATATCCCTAATGTTGGAATTGATTGGGTTCATACAAAAAAATTTCTCGCATGAGCTTTGGAATATAGAAGATATATGATTGCAAATTTCAATTTAAAAAAAAAATCATTCATTCATTCAATCATAAAATTTGTTTTAATTTTGTTTTAGAATTTTAGTCAATATTTCAATATTCAATTCAATTTCCTTCTCTTCTGTTAATTACATCTCGAAGACAATGTAATTTTCTACCAGTCTGGAAATGTCTCTTTGCTGGAGGTTAGCCCATTCTTCACGAAGAGTCGTTAAGATCATGGAGTGTATGAGGAAGTGATGGTCATTCTCTTATTGGTCTTTTGAGGTTATCCCATAAATGCTCGATGGGTTCAAGTCTGTAGGTCGGGTTGGCCAGGCTAAGACCCTCATGTTATGCTGTTGAAGGTACATTTTTACTATGTGAGTGACATGAGGACGGGCATTATCCTGCATTAGAAGAAGGATTGTCGCTGATTTCACCGTGGATAGTCATGATATTCCAAAATTTCATCCAAATAGTGAGTGGCCGTCAAAGATCCTCCACGGACAACTACCAACTTTGGGTGATTCTCCATTGAAATTCCCGCCCATACTATCACATAGCTATGTTGAAAAGGTTGGCTCTGGGAAAAATTACAAGCTTCGTGCCTTTCATTTCACTTTCTCCACACTCTTTCATGCCCGTCTGGAGATCCCAGAGCAAATGTTCACTCTTCTGTAAAAAGTACAGCAGTCCAATGGTTGTTTTCTCGAGCAAATGGGAGCCACCATTTCACGGTGTTGGAGATTCTTCTTCACAAAGAGTCCTTTCAAAATGGTGGAGTGTATGAGGAAGCGATGGAAGTGCTCTTATTGGTTTCTTGAGGTTATCCCATAAATGCTCGTTGGGGTTCAAGTCTGTAGGACGTGCTGGCCAGGCTAAGACCTCATGTTATGCTGTTGAAGGTACATTTGTACTATGCGAGCGACATATGGATGGACAATATCGTGCATTAGAATAGGATTGTCGCTGGTTTCATCGAGGATAGGCAACGCATGATGTTCCAAAATTTCATCCACATAGTAAGTGGCCGTCGAAGACCCTCCACTAACAACCACCAACTCTGTGCGACTCCCATTGAAATTCCCGCCCATACCATCACAGAGTTACGCTGAAATGGTTGGGTCTGGGAAAAATTGCAGGCTTTGTACCTTTCATTTCGCCTTCTCCATACTCTTTCACGCCCATCTGGAAATCGTAGAGCAAATGTACACTCTTCTGTAAAAAGTACAGCAGACCAATGGTTGTTTTCTCAAGCAAATGAGAGTCGTGCAACTCTGTGTGTTCTGGTCAATTCTGGTCCTCTTACAGGGCAAAAAGCCATAGTCCATACTGATTTAATCTTTTTCGAGCAGTTCGTTCAGAAATTTGGACACCTCGAACTAACTGGAGCTGATTGCTTGCGACAAATTTGCATGCATAGTATGCTGTAACTGATATTTCTGTCCCCCCCCCCAGGTCCCAGAAAAGTGTACACTGTAAATGGTGTTAATGTAATTCCTCCATCATGGTGCTGGAGATTTTGTATTCATTAACAGATATTTATTTTATAAAAATAATATTATATATAATCAATAATATTATATATATAATATTATTTATTATATATAATATTATTTTTGTTATCCTAACACTTTCACCTTCTATTTGCACAAATATGCAAATCCATGGAGAAAATAGAAGTGATTTTAACTTCAGATACTAGGAAATCAGCAGGTCCTGGCAATATTCCTCCTATTTTTTATTTATTTATTTATTTTTTTTTTTTTTGTCATTAATGGTGTAAATGTAACTCTCTCAACAAGAGTATTTTTCCTCAGTTCTGGAAACCATCCTTTGTTATTGTAACAATCTTTATTACAGTATTTCCATAATGGATCTTGTAATAATAATGTAGGTAGTTTAGAGGACAAAAAGCTGGGGTCATTATGTTAGGATGAATCCTGTATTCGAGCAGATTGTCAAGAAAGAGAGAGAAAACAATAAAAGACTCAGGCTACAACCCTGTCTAACACCCCACTTTAAAATATTTCCAAATATCTCTTAAGTACCTCAGATTTAGTGTGTGAAAACAGTGATTTTAGTGTGGTTTCTACTGAAAAACAAAGGTTACTAATTTTAAGTATAATGTGCAATATCAGCACAATCGAAGGAAGCCTTGAAATCAACATATGAAAAAACATTACTTATAGCCATAACGTTACAAATGGTATGATTATATGACTTTTTTTTTATTATAATTTGAATTTAATTATAAAAGCTTAGAAACATTTTTTCTTCTTTTAAACAGCCAAACATTGACTGACTGTTACATTTTCTCCTCAAATTTGTACCAATTGCTGAATATTAATTGTTCATATTTATCAATTTTTTCACAGGCTTTTGGAGAATTAGGAAGCAAAACGGACACTTCTGATGAAGGTAAAATTAATATTTATGACAAACTGTAAACAATACGTTATATTAAATTAATTTATCAATTTTTTTTCCAGATCCATCAGGTGTAAAGGATGGAAATATATCCAATCAAGAACAAACACCATCTGATGAACCAAGTACTTTAATTATTTATTTTATAATACGTCACTGGTTTTTTTAAACCGGTTTAGACAAATTTAATACCATTGGAACAGTGTTGATAATATTGGTTATAATATTTCTTTTAAAATTTGCACTTCTTTGCGATGGAACCTCATTATATATTATTGTTTAGGTAAATTCAAAAAGATCTTAGTTCCAGCAGATTTATCTGCTGTTTAAAATCAGAATAATAAATATTGTTTTCTTATAGATATAGATCCTAAACATTTCGGACGTTTAAATTTAAAATATATTTATTCTCCGGAGATAAGGCTTAAAAAGTATAAAATTTATTATGATAGTTTCTAGTTCTGATTTTATGAACTGACCAATAATATTTATCCAATTCCATAATGTTTGTATATTTATATCGTCATTATTCATTTAAAAATTGTTTGTCATAAAATACTTTTAAAAATAGTGGATTTATTTAAGGGTAGTAAAGTATTTATATCAATAAAATAGATTCATTGTACTAATGGAAAATTCTATTATAGGGAAATCAAACCATCTACTATCAACAACTGATATATCCTTTGAAACTGATATCCTTTTTTTTCTTTGTTTTTTAATTTATTTTATGGTTTTAGTTTAATCAAATTATTGTTCTTGTTAATCTTGTTTATAAGCTATTTTATTGAGTTCATAAAATGTTTGTCATTTTGAAGTTAATACATCTCTAATCTATTATTTGATCCTTACCAGTTGGTCAGATGTGTTTCAACATTTTGCCATCTTCAGTGTTAGGTCTGAACGATGATTGTTTCACATGAACAAAAAAGTTATTCGCTGTATTAATTTCCATGCATAGATACACTGAAGATGGCGAAGTGATGAATCATGTCTTGACAGATCAACCCAGCGAGGGTAGGCAGACCATCATGATCGGTAAGGATCAAATCACCCCGTAGACCACAGGAGGAAAACCACGATTTAAAAAATTAACGTTTCTATTTTTCTAGAAATTTATATTCTAGAGGTCATTTAATCGTTTCATTGAGGTGTCGGTGGCCACAACGGTTTAGGCGTTGACTTGGCGCTCATCACTGTAAGGTAAACGTCCCAGGTTTGAATCTAGTGACATACTTACAAATGGGCTTGTTTTTTCAAAAACACCGACACTTCGAGGGTTGATATGACCTAAGTCTGACCTTTTTGTCCATTATTTTCTATTGTATTATCCTTAGCAGCTGAACATTAAGAAATAATATAAAATGGTTCGCTGCGATGTTATTAAGATTCCAGTAATTATAATTCAACTCAGGTGTGACAATTCATCAGTAATATTTACTGATTGCTTTTATGTTTTATTTTTTATTCTTTTGGGATCAATATTGTTTTGATTTATTTCTCAGGTTGTAGCATGCTACCTCAAAATCCTGGTAAAACTTATTCAGAGCTGGTACAGTCGTTAACGAATCTACCTAATGTGTAAGCCGCTGTTTTTCATTTGAGGATCTTAAAAATGAAAATTTAATTTTTCATTCATTTTCTTCTTTTTCTAGAAAAATTGAGAAAAAGAAAAAAGATACTGAACTAATGGTTGAAATGTTGGCAATGGAAAGAGACGCAAAACGAAGAAGAACAAGTTACAAAAACAAAGTTCATACTAAGAATAAATCTCATCTGGAGGTATTAGGCTACATTAAAATGATATTTTCCTTATTTAGAACTTTATATTAAATAATTTTTTCTAGGTTTTACGTGAAGTAGTCGAACAGCAAATGGAATTGCTGAAAGGGCCTGACGATAATGAAACGCCAGCTGAACCTGATGACAAACAAAAGGAAACCAGAGAGGACATGCTCATCGAACTCAAAGACATCAGTGGTACTGGCAACCCCTATCTAGTTTGGCAGAATGTCGAAAAATATCTTGTAAATAAAGAATCTCAGGTTCAGAATATTGCTAAGAGTGAAAAAAGTTATAAAGACAATGAAAAACATCAGCTCAGAGAAGAAAAGACAAAACGTGAAAATCACAGGAAACACAAGCATAAGAGTAGAGACCGGTCACCTAGCAGTCGCCACAGGAAAAAGGAAAGGAAAGAAAGATCTCGATCGAGACATAAACACTCTCCAAGTGCTAAACATCACAAAAGGTCGCCTTCACGTTATGAACATTCACACAGCCATTCAAAAAAGAGTAGACATTCATGATTATTGATTAACAGATATGTAAATATAGTTGCAATAAATATTTTAAACAAAATGCTAAATTATTTTAACCTTGCCATTTTTAAATTAGTTTCTTTTCTTGTTTATAAAACAATTATCAAATTAGAACAGTCGGACTTTTCGGGGAATTGTTTCTATTTCTAAAATTGTGCATGGCATGATAGCAATTTATAATTGTCACTTCTTGTGTTATTAACGGTAAATAATATTTTTTATGGGGCTCATCAGAGATATGTTTTATCCGTGAAATTTCTCTTTTGGCCGAGAGGCCAGGTGCCACACTCTTCATTTAGTAAATAAATAAAACAGGAGTCGATGACTCAAATGCTTGTTTCTAATATTGCAGATGAGAAAGATAAGTCGGATGTTTTAAATACCATGAAGGCTATAGGGAAGAAAACCTGCGTTCACTTCACACCAAAGACTCAGCTAGATTTTACTTAAATATCCATCATTCAAAAAAACAAAAGGTGTTATTCCGAATAGGTTACAGGCCTTTCCTTTTGTCAGACCATTAAAAATGCATCTGCACAAACCAGGCTGCTACCACAATGGCACAATCCAGCACAAATTTGTCCATAAACAATCTAGACCAGATAGGGATGAATATGTGTGGGACAATATGGAAGAGAGTAAAAAGTATTGAATTATAAATTTACAAACAATAGGAAAACTAAAAAGAAGTGGTTTTCAGAATATCGTAGTCAGTTTAAGAAAGGAACAATTTCTTTTAAAAATAAATAACATTAGTTATGATTACAAAAGTGTGATGCAGTATCTTAACGGAGCCTTTTGATTGGCAAAGCCATGAATGTTGCAAAGGTAATTTCTATTAATTCTTTCTTATTCCTTTTTATTAATTGTGATTTTTATTTAATTTCTTGTTTTCTTCCTTCTTGATCAGTTTATTTTCCTTTCTTTTGTGCTTTCTCCCCTTTCATAACAGTTTATTGTACTTCAGTGTTGCTTTCTTGTTCTTGTCCATTTTATTTTATATCTTCCTAGTGTACTTCTTAATCAGGTTTTTTTTAACTTTCTTGTTTCTTCTCCTTGATCAGTTTATTTTACAGTTTTGCTTTCTTCCTTGTTCTTATTAATCAGTCCATTTTATTTTATTTTTTCTTATTGTTCTTCTTAATCAAGTTTGTTTTACTTTCTTGTTTTCTTCTCTTGATCAGTTTATTTTACTCAGTTTCGCTTTCTTCCTTGTTCTTATTAATCAATCCATTTTATTTTATTTTTTCTTATTGTTTTTCTTAATCAGGTTTGTTTTACTTTCTTGTTTTATTCTTCTTGATCAATTTATTTTAATCAGTTTCGCTTTCTTCCTTGCTCTTATTAATCAGTCCAATTTATTTTATTTTTTCTTATTGTTCTTCTTAATCAAGTTTGTTTTACTTTCTTGTTTTCTTCTCTTGATCAGTTTATTTTACTCAGTTTCGCTTTCTTCCTTGTTCTTATTAATCAGTCCATTTTATTTTACTTTTTTCTTCTTGTTGTTCTTCTTTAACAGGTTTTTTTACTTTCTTGCTTTCTTCTTCTTGATCAGTTTATTTTACAGTTTCGCTTTCTTCCTTGTTCTTATTAATCAGTCCATTTTATTTTTTGTATTCTTCTTCTCAACAGTTTTTTTGTTTTTTACTTTCTTTTTTCTCCTTCTTCTTCTTGATAAATTTATTTTATATATTTTCTTTCTTGTTTTTTCCTTCCTTTTCTCAATCAGTTTATTTTACTTTATTGCCTGCCTGCTTCTCTCCTTCTTGATCAGTTTGCTTTACTTTCTTTTCCCATACTTTAACATCCCTAACCATCTTGAGAAAATAAGGATCATGTATCGCTGTTAAAAAGGGAAAACATTTGTTTAATGTATCTCTCTCACTTCATTCAAACAATTATGAAGTTGGTAGTGCTTGTTTTATTTTATTTATTTATTTATTTTTTTTGCCAGACAGTTTTATTAATTAAGAAATTTAACAGTAAACCATTTAAAAAATATATTTATTTAGTAATAACATGGCATGCATAAAACATGGTATAAATGTACAAAAATAATTCAAAACTCATCCTCCATATCACTTAATGGCTGGACAACAAACTTGTCCATAGAAGTGCAATGGTAGCTACAAAGTGCTAAAGACAATTCACAAGCTAGGACGTGACTGCATATATTTTTGACTTTGTTGTCATCTACACTTTTCCTGAATTGATCACATTTGCAGAAAGGAATATGCTTGTAAAGTGTATAATAAAATCCTTGATCTTCAACCTGAAACGGTATAAATGAGCACATTAGAGTTCGACAAACTTGTTATAAGTTACCAAAAAATATTTTCTCTGGCTGTTAGTTATTGTTATAAGTTCAATGGAATCCTTGTCTAAAAGCTCTAAAGCCTTAAAAAGAATATCACCAAATAAAGTGTAGAGCAAATTTACGTCCTCTTCTGTAACTGAACAAATGTAAACTTTTAGTTCAAAATGTTGTTTACTTTTTGATTGACATAAAATTAATTACGTGCAGTACTGTTGTTCTCCCTGATTTGGTTGCATATGACATGTAGTGAGCTTTTACACAAAAATGCTAATTCTACATTGGAAGAAGTCAAGTCCACTCCTGAAAAACGCAAGATTTATTTTCCATTTATTAAATATGAATATTTATTTCAGTCAATATGAATGAACTCCTTATCCTCACTGGAGTCTGTCAGTCATGTTGTCTGTCTCTGATCTCTCATGAGCAAATTACAGAACACAGACACACTGACAGTGCATCTGACAGATCTACCCAGCCAGAATAGGCAAACAAAGATGATAGGTAAGGCTCAAATTATAGGGTTCATCACACCCCGCAAGACACATGAGGAAATCTCAAAATGTATGAACACATTTTATTTGAAACAAAAAAAATATTTGCTGTAAGTAATAATCTTTTCAATTGAATAATTTTGAATCGTGTGCTAATGATAGAAAATACGAAAAAAATTAATTTTAATACTGCTTTTTTTAAGTTTTACCAATAATATAATAATAATGGTGGTTTATATGTCACATCTAATTTCATATAATATACATCAACAAAACAATAGTAAAAAAAAAGATTAAATTAAACTTCACTAATTTCGTGGTCCGCTTGACCAATTAATATATTATAATTAATTAAGGTTTTTAGTTGGGATAAAAAAGTCAATGACACGAGCGGGATTCGAAAAATTGAAAAATGGCAAGAAGGAGGGAAAATTCAAAAGGTGGGGTTGAGATGGGAAGTTGGTGTCCGAGTGGATCGAGGTCACGATAGCTCAAGTGGTAGAGCAGCGGCGTATCTAGCTGAAGATCGTGGGTTCGAATCCCGCTCGTGCGATTGACTTTTTTATCTCAACTAAAAACCTTAATTAATTATTAAATTAAACAATACAGAACTTTAAACAGTAAAGTCAAAAATTGAAATAAAATAGTACAACCAGTTTAATATTTAAGTTCAGTAAAAAAAATCATACCTATATTGCCAATCATGTCTGCAATATTTTGTCGGTTTTGCTGTTCAGTTCAAACTTTAGCTTGAAGAGTAATTCACTTCAAGATGGGAAACGAAGACAATTTTTTTTTTATATAGCACATTCACCGAGGAAGTTTAACACATCTTCTTGACCTTTGTGTACATAGACAGCATGAGTTGTAGGGTCATTCCATCCATATGGTATAATTTAATCCTATTTAGCTTGCACCCCGCAACTGCTGCAAAACACCCAAAATCAGATCCCAATTAAAATCAAAAACGAAGTGACAATATGGAATGGTATGATCAAGCTGAAACAGAGTACACAAATCAAAATGAAGAGTACAGAACAGAATACATCCCTAAAAAGAAAAAAAGGAAATGGGAACAAGAAAAGGAAGAGGGAAGAAAATTCATGTAATTTTTAAAAACTCAGATGGACCTGAAACAAGCCAGCAAGGAAGCAGAACGTACTTCCCAGGGAAGCAAATTCCATAGTCTTGACCCTGCAATTCTGAAGGATAAGGCTAAAGGTAGAGAAGTGATAAGCTGGATAAGGTATAAAGGAAAAAGTTGACTGATACTGAGGACATTTATTTGATTTAATTTTAAATATATGTATTAAAACTCTAAGTTTATAAGTGCTTAGAATGTTATGGTTGATGAAGACATTAATATAGGAAGAAATATGTTCCCTTGGTTTAAGATCATAACAGTATCAAAGGCAGGAATGATACGCAATTTGAAGGTGATGAGCAGATGGAGAGTCTAAGGAAAGTGAAAAAATAGTGCTACTGTCAGAAAATAAAGGAATTATTAGTTAATAAGGAGAACTCTAGTTTTCTATGGAATGAAAAAGCAAAGGTGTCGAAGAGAATAAAGGCTTGAGTAGATATTTTTAATAATAAAGCTCACATGGCCCTGCCATGTAATCTTGGAGTAAAAACCGTGATTTTTAACTTTAGGACAAAAATTAAAAGGGGAGCCATTGATATGAAAAGGAGGTAGGCAATCTGTACTAACGGGTTTGATGGAAATTAATAAGGACTGGGGATTTGTTAGGATATAAAAGAAAGCTGTTATTTCTTGACCACTGGTTAAGAGAATGAAGATCATGGTTGAGCAGAGAGATAGCTTGTAGAAAATTGAATCTAAAGCTGAGTGTCATCAGCGTAAAGATGAAATGGGGATAAATTAAGAACTAATGTTAGATCATTTATAAACATGGAAAAGAGTAAAGGTCCAGGAATAGAGCCTTGGGGTACACCAGCTGCAATGGAGAGAGAAAAAAAGATAGAATTTGAAGCTTTAACTCACCGAGTTCTGTCAGACAGATAGGAGGAAATGAGATTAGAAGCAGTAGAAGAAAAAAAGATGCGTCAGTTTCCAAATTAGAAAATTATGATTTATGGAACCGAATTGGAAAAATCATGTAGAACAACAATTTATATATATTTATAGTGCAGTTTTGGTTTGCATACCAATAGGTCCAAAGAGGCTAGTGCAATAGTCAATAGTCTCTATAAACCACATGTAAGGAAGTAAGGAGGGATGGCCAAAAAGCTTCAAATGAAAAACCTCTAGAACTTCTCTACTACGTTCTACCGCTGATAACCAACTGCTTTTAGCCAGCAAAGTGTTATGTGGATATCTGAGATTGTTAATGCTTCTTCCAGTGATTTGAAACTCCACCTTGGATTCCTCAAGCACAGTGTCACATGATAAGTTCTGCGTACAGGATGAATAGGTAAGGTGAGAGTATACAACCCTAACGTACTCCTTTTCCAATCTTAAACCAGTCCATTGTTCCATGCCCTGTTCTTACCATTGCTACCAGTCCTTATACAGATTCCTCAAGGGGCCGACAAGATGGTATACCCATACCATCAAGAACTTACCATAATTATGGTCTACACAATCAAAGGATTTAGAATAGTAAATAAAACAAATACATGTTTTTTCTTAAACTCCCTGGCTTCAGGTGTATCTCACTGTCGAAAGACCTAAAGAAACGACTCAAAAATTCTTACCACTTGATAAAATTGTCTGTAAGATCTTGCTCTTTCAAGGTTAGAAAATTGAATTCACACACTCTTTCATTTTAAAGGGAAATAAAATTTTTTTGGAAAGTTTTGATTTTGTGAAATATGCTAGTACAGTTGCTATGTTTGTTTTTCATTCAGTTGATCTTAAACTTGTAAGATTATTTTTAATAAAAAAACAATCCCACAGGGAGAAATTACGATAAAAGTGAAGACTTGTATGATAATAAATCATTTGAATTTTAACATTTTAACAATAATTGGAACTTCTAGAAATTATTCTTTTAAGAATTATAATATTATTAAAATTATATAAATAATTTAAAAACTGATTCGACACGGACCTGTTTTGAAAGATGTTATCCCTCGGCCTTCCGCTGTCAAATGTTCAGATTGGAAACAGAACCCGCCCGAGTTTAACCTACTGTTGCCAAATCTCAACCGAGTCGGCAACTCGCCTGTTAATGTTGGAAAATTCGTCAATCCCTCCGGTTTCTGAGTGCTGTCTGGCTTTGGAACTAGAGAAAATTTGGCTTTGGATTACGTTTCAGAGGAAAAAATTCCGCTAGTAAGAGGTAAGTTGTCGCCAAGGCACACTTTCCAACGGAAGCCACGTGCTTCCGGGAAAAGTTCTGTTTCCAACTCGATTGCCTTTTAATTTCACCATTCGGGATAAGTTAATATAGAAAAATTCTTCTTACTTTATCCAATAACGCTCACGTACAGTCAAATCTGTCAAATAAAAGTTTTACGCTGAAAGATCTAATAATAAATTGATTAAGTATGGTAAAGATTTTTGGCAGATTTAAAGGATTATAAATTAATCAGAATTTTCTGGTTTAGAACAACTAGATTAACTTACTGGTGTTTCAGCATTGCAGAATATGCATGTGGATTACATAATTTTACCATTGAGATATTCAAGCGTATTTTTTTTTTTTTTGAAAACGTGGCAGTTATGTGATCATTAAAGAACTATATTTGGTTTCTGGGCTAAAGGGTTTTAAAGCCCTTGGAATGACCTGCTGCGCTGATTTCAAGACAGCAAGATTCTCGGGAATATTGTTATGAAAAAACTCCCTCAATTTTTAGAGTATTTATTATTTATTATTCATGTTTGCTACAATTTGTTAGCATAACAGTTTTGCTAAGGGGCGTTGATGGCCACAATGGTTTAGGTGTTGACACGGTGCACATCACTTTAAGGTAAAGATACTGGGTTCGAATCCAGCGGCCCTGCATTTGAACTCAACATACCTACAACTGGGCTTTTTTAATGGTTGAAATGACCTCAGCTGTTGCAATCATGATCAATCTTCAACTAATTCTATTATATTCTTATACGATGAGATATTTTGTTGAATCGTGAGATTTCCTGCTGTGGACGGTGGGGTGATGAATCCATAATTTGATCCTTAATTATCATCTTAGTCTGCACATCTTTGCTGGGTTAGTCTGTAATGTTGGCATTTCATCATCTTCAGTGTAATATTAACAATACTAGGGACATCGGTGGCTGCGATGGTTTAGGCATTAACACAGCCTCATCACTGTAAGGTAAAGGTCCCAGGTTCAAATCCAGCGCCCCTACATTTGGACCCAACGTATTTACAAATGGGCATTTTTTCAATGTTTTTGGCAAAAACACCAACACCTCAAGGGTTGATATGACCTCTGCTGTTCAATCATGATCAATCTTCAACTAATTTTATTGTACTCTTATATGATGAGATATTTTGTTGAATCGTGAGATTTCCTGCTGTGGTTGGTGGGGTGATGAATCCATAATTTAGATCGGGGGCTGTGACGGTTTAGGCATTGACACAACCTCATCACTGTAAGGTAAAGGTCCCAAGTTCAAATCCAGCAGCCCTGCATTCGGACTTAAAAATGGGCATTTTTTTTTCAAAAACACCGATACCCTCAAGGTTTCATAGTACCTTGTGGTTGAAATACCGTCATTAAAAATAATGATAATAATAATTGGTACTTCATTTTTTATAATACAGTAATATAAAATAACTACACAATAAATACAGTACAGCATGAAAAATTCTCTCTGCCAGAGGTGAATGAAAACATAAATAAAGGAACAAACGAACAGAACAAAACAAAAAAGAGAAAGAAGGAGACAAATTAAAGACCACGAAAGTAAAGAAAAAAAAATCTCTGGACTCTCAACACGACACACAAGAATGGCACAATTACACAGAAAACAAACACTTTGAGTGAGTAGAAATACTTTGATTGAATATTTAAAAAAAAAAAAAACAATATTTTTTGCATTGTATAAATTCACTTTTTTACACATGTTTGTAAACCCCAGGTCTGAAGATGATCTCAATAAAGATCGAAATGTTGACACGATAAGGAAAATGTTTTTCTGAAACCTACATCATACCAGACCGCATCTCACGATTTCTGAGTATTTAATTCTTTAACATAAATATACCTGTATTGCCATGCATGTCTGCAATATTTTACTAGTGGAGTCAGTTCAGAGTTTAGCCCAGTAATTATTCATCTCAAGGCAGGGAAATGTGGCCTAGATGGGCCATACGAATTTCTTTTAAAATCGAACATTCTGAGCACAGGATAGAAAGGGGTGTAATTTAGCCAAAGTAACCCATACCTCATTTTAAAAACCAACCGCAAATCACCCACATTCAGATGCTGATTAAAATCGGACAAGAAATGGCAGTGGAAACTGTACAATTGAGATCACTTTAAAACAAAAAACAAGTTGTCAGAGCAAGCCACACAGACTCCTGATGACTGGTCTTTGCAAGAAGTAAATTAAGAATAGGTTCCAATTCGAAAGTACAGTAGAAATCTGTTTATCCGGACTTGAAGGGACTGGGACTTGTCCGGATGATTAAAAGTCCGGACAATCCAAAAATTTGTGATTTTATTTGTATCGTGACATAAAAACAGAAAAAACACATTACGAAAGTGAACACTTTTATTCATATATCAGGTTACATTTTAAAGTAATAGATAGTTTTATTTTTGTTTAAATTCACACACGTTTCTCGAAAAATTTATACATAAAAAATACCTATTTATACATAATAAAAAAAAAACCTTTTCAATGGAAGCCAACAAATGAACAACACGACACAACAATTTCTTGTCTTTTAAAATAGTATACACCTTTTTTTTCTCTTCTTTTCTATTTTTAATTTATTTATTTTATTTATTTTTTTAACAAAAACATGATTGTTGGCCTCTCCAGCCTCTTCGATCATGTGACTAGTGGTAGGGCGATTTGGTGGCCTTTATGAATTTCAAACGATGAATAAAGGTCCCATAGTGGAATTATGAATTTAAAAAAATTAATATACATACATTGAGAATTATAAAAAATGTGTGGTGTTTAGTGACGGTTAATTAATGATTATTTGGAGATCTGGGACTATATCACTATACACTACTGTATCAGATCTCATCTCATGATCTCCAAATAATTTATAAAAAAATATTTTAACAAACAGGTCCGGAAAATCTGGAGTTCCGGATAATCAGGGTCTGAATAAACGGGTTTCCACTGTATTATTAATATTTAAATTATGTGGGGTGAGATATTTGATAAATACAGTATCCACTGGGAGAATCATAACGTGTTGTTTTATTACAAAGAGCAGTCATTTTTGGAAGATGGGAATTAGGGTGATCAATTTTCAGGACATATGTGAAGCCTCAGTGTAGATACCATCAATGTCATACTGTTGATATCCCTAAACTTGGCGTGCACAGACCTTGAGACAGCATCAAACATGTTGAGTTTAGCTTTTAGTGGTTTGTTGTAATTTATCATTAAGCCAGCATAAATTTTGTTAAATCTTAGCTGTAGATGACACTTGCCTTCAAATGATATTAGAAGGAGAGGCAAGGTGTAAGAGTAACTTCAAGATATTTGGAGGTGTATTAATGTAATAATAAGTGTATTTCAGTGATTGGACAGACAAGACAAAAAATATGTGATTGATATTACAGAAAGCCATCTCGAACCCATAATGAACTACTTAACCTCATACAAAAAAAGATAAAAAATTGAACTACATTTTTTATCTAAGGTTTTGTTAGAGATGAAAAACTTAGTGTCATGAGACAGATTTGAACCCACAACCTTTGTCTCAGTACGCTGTGTCTCTAACCCCTTGAGCTGTCATGACTTTTTTTCATCTCAAACAAGACCTTAGATAAAAATCCAGTAGGATATTTAATCATGTTAAAATTAAAATCATACAAATCAACTGCCACAAGCTCTTATGGAAAATTTGTAGGCTTCTTTTCTACCTTTAGATTAAGAAATACCCTGATAAACTATCTCTGGGCTACTTTCAGATTTGAAATGTTTGAAATTTTCTATTACAAACTAATAGTTATACCCAAGAGATCTTAAATCAAGATCCTTTTTATCTTTCTTCATAAAATCCTAAAGCTAGTGTTGTAGGTTTGCTTTTGTTTGTTGATTTGACAGTGATTTTGCAAGTCAAAGTTAACAGGTCGTGGTCTCCAAATTATTTTATTTTCCATCGCTTAAAAGAAAATCTCTCTGGCTGTTACTAAAACCTCAAAAAGCATTTAGTAGACTCTGAATTTTCAAATTATTTATAATTAATGAAAGTAGATTGGCTGGCAGCCAACATACTAAGCTATGCAAACATTCTAATTCTGCCTTTTTGAGAGTGTGTTTCACGACTAGTTTTACTTTACTAGTCATTTAGCTGTTGCTAGTCCCTAATTTTCAAGTTGGGATTTTTTAAAATTTCGAATAACAAAATCTGTAGTTAAAGTTAATTTGAACCTTTAAAGTTAATAAAAGTATAAAAATAAAAGCTTGTAGCAAAAATGTCAAAAAGTCTTTTTCATAAAATAGTGAGTATTTACTTAAAATATACCAATAAATTATAATTAAAACTCAATGGAAAACAAAGAAATTAAAAAGATTATAATTAACAGTTGGTTAATTTTCACCCCATCCATTTTTTGTTACAGAATTTAGATGTCTATCTTAAATAGTGCCCCATCGAGGGCGAGCCTCGGTGCTCAGCCAGGCGCCAAGGTGGTAAGGTTCCAATTGGACTTTAATTTGAAGTCTCTCCTGTTGGATTGTCTCAACGAAAAAGACAACAAATTGTACGAAGAGCTTGTGTGTAAAATTAGAGATGTCGGGCAAGAAATAAGGGTTTGTATAAATTATCAATGTTATAACTTACAAGGTTGTGATATTAATTCTTCTGACCCATTAGGATGATGATTTGCTTCAACTTTTGAAAGAAGCAAGAGGATGCATATCGATTATAGATAGAAACTTTAGGCTTTTTGTCCAAGTTGTTTTAGTAAGTTTTAATTTGGCCATTTTCCATTTTGTCGTCTGATTTAAACTATTAAACCTGTTTTTTTTTCTTTTTTCTCAGATTTTACAGTGGACTCACAGATGTGAGGAAGTTGTTAATGAATATAAAGGTTTCCTTCAGGATTTATGTGCAGCACATAACTATTATACAAAATTAGTAACAGACCATTTAATTTCTTCATTTAAAACAGGTACCTATTTTTGTTATGTTCATTTCTATATTAATTAATATTATTAAACTGTTTTTATAGATACTGAAGTTTGGAAAGATGGTGTTCCCAGTGAAAAGAGCAGACAATGTTTTGAACACATTCATCAAGTTATTTTATCAATTTTAACAGTAATTCCTATGTACGTACATACTTTAATTATATTGTTATGTTTCATATTTTATTGATATTTAATTTTAAGGTCGAGAGATATTCTACTTTCATCTATACAGAGTTGTTCTCCTTACATAAAAAAACCTGCCCATGAACATGAAGCCTACATGTACAACATACTTCTAATTTCTATCAAAATCCCACAATTACGTTACGAACTTTTGAACTTTGTAATTACAAAGTGAGTTGTAGTTTAAAATTGTAACTGTATGGTTTGTTAAAACGAATGTTTGATTTTTCAGAATTATCGCTCTCGATGTCAACTCGCCGAAATCAGAAATAGAGAGGGCTTTGGAGACGGAAGAACATGGCGGAGTGTTCCATTTAGAAGAGAATACTAGTCACCAAATTAGCCAAACGTTGGACGTGTGCATGTTAATGATGTTCAAATATATCCACTCTTTTTGCCATGAAAATGATAATCTTGTAATTGAAAAATTAAAAACTCTTTATCTAGATTTAGTAAAGGTAAGTTCTTTCCTCACTTCTAAGCTAATTTGTATGAATTTTAACAAGTCAAAGCCAAAAATTAATATAGTTTTAAAACTGTATCTATTGAATTGTTATATTTTTTTTCTAGATATTTGATAACATGATACTCCCTACCCATTCCACACACTATGTCCAATATCTATTGTTTTACTTGCTGGGACTGAAGCCAGCTTTGTCAGTATCTTTCCTAAAAACTTTGTGGTCGAAGCTAAACAATCCCAGTGTACCTTCGGTACTTAGACAGGCAGCAGTTTATTACATTGCGAGTCTTTTAGCTAGAGCGTCATACGTATCAATAATGTTCGTATTTTTATACATTAAACATATTTTTGTTTTAATTGAAAAGTTATTATTTTTTTATTGAACTAATTCTCTCGTTTCAAATTTCCAGCTCCGTTCAAGAAATGTTACTAGATATGGCAGTCTGGATCCATTCTTACATCGTGAACCAGGATGAATCGAGCAATATTTCAAGTCAAGACATGAGAGTTCATACAGTTTTCTATTCAATTTGCCAATCTTTGTTCTACGTCATTGCTTTCCGATACAAAGAGTTTATTCAAACCAAAGGAGGTATGTGTTTTCTAATAAAAAGTTTCTCTTCCTCTTCCAGATTTTAAAGCAACTGTCATATTTACTCCCACTACTTAAATGAACATGTTCTTAATTAGATTAACATTATTCTTTAAAACAAATGAAAATGATCAGAGTAATTGGTGCACATCTTCTGTGTTAGACCGCATGACGATCTTTCTTCAGTCTTCAGAAAGCAGATCCAATAAAACAGAATGCACAGCAGAAGTTGTGACTCAATGGGATCTGACACTGAAAAATGTTCAGCTAGCAATTCGACTGATGGATCCAAAATGAGAAATGTGCTTGGGACTTTTGTTGAATCCAACCATCACTTCAGAATGATATCGATAATAAACAATCCACTACAGAAATTTCAGTTTACCAATTCCAACATTCATTTTAGACAATTTGGATCTGATAGAGGAAAATGTTCAACTGTTAGATGGATCCAAAAATGGAAAATATGGTTCTGATAATTTCAATGTTGAGTCCATCAATCACTCCACAATGGGAACTGACAGTGGAAAATGTTCAGTTGGCAATTCGACTGTTGGATTTAAAAGAGGAAATAATGCTTCTGACAATTTGAGTGTTGGGTCCAACAATCACTTCTGACAGTGAAAAATATTTAGCTGGTAATTCGAAGGTCGGATCCAGAAGTGGAAATTTTGCTTCTGACAATTTGAGTGTGGGTCCATCAATCACTCCAGACTGTGACATTTGGCAGTGGAAAATGTTCAGCTGGCAATTCGACTGTTGGATCCAAAAGTGGAAATTATGTTTCTGACAATTTGAGTGTTGGGTCCAAAATCACTCCCGACCGTGAGATCTGGCAGTGGAAAATGTTTAGCTGGCAATTTGACTGTTGGATTCAAGAGTAGAAATTATGCTTCTGACAATTTGAGTGTTGTGTCCAACAATCACTTCCGACAAGGACAAAGTTTAGCTGGTAATTCGAACGTCGGATCCAGAAGTGGAAATTTTGCTTCTGACAACTGGAGTATTGGGTTCAACAATCATTTCTGATGGTGGAAATTATTCCGGACATCGGGATCTGATAATGGAAAAAGTTCAGTTGACAATTCAACTGTCAGATCCAAAAGTGGAAAATGTGCTTCTGATCATTTAACTTCCGGGTTCAACAATCACTTAAGACAGTGGGATCTTGAGTGGAAAATGTTCTACTGGCAATTTGACTGTTGGATCCAAAAGTGGGAAAGATGCTTCTGACAATTTGACTGTTATGTTCAACAATCACTTCAGACATTATGATCTTACAGTGGAAATTGTTCTGGTGGTAATTGGACTTTTAGATCCAAAAGTGGACAATTCGACTGCCGGATTTAAAAGTTGAAAATGTGCTTCTGATCATTTAACTTCTAGATCCATCAATAATTTCAGACAATGGGATCTGATAGTAGAAAAAGTTCTACTGATAATTCGACTATCAGATCCAAAAGTTGAAAATGTGCTTCTGATCTTTTAACTTCTAGATCCATCAATAATTTCAAACAGTGTGATCTGATGGTAGAAAAAGTTCTACTGACAATTTGACTATCAGATCCAAAATTTGAAAATGTGCTTCTGATCTTTTAACTTCTAGATCGATCAATAATTTCAGACAGTGGGATCTTATAGCGGAAATTGTTCTGCTGGTAATCCGACTTTCAGATCTAAGCATCCATTCGACTGTCGGATCTAAAAATGGAAAATGTGCTTCTGATATTTTAACTTCTAGATCCATCAATAATTTCAGACAGTGGGATCTGATAGAAAAAGTTCTACTGACAATTCAACTATTAGATCCAAAAGTGGAAAATGTGCTTCTGACCATTTGACTTCTTGGATCCAACAATCACTTTTGACAATAGAATCTGAAAGTGGAAAAAATTGAGTCAGAAATATCACTGTATTTTGCTATTTACTGTCATTTTGGCCTGCCTATCCTAGTCGGTTTGCTTTAGGCTGTCTATCATCTTTAATGCTGTTTTGCATTAAAAAAATGAAACAAGAAATCGCAGGCAACAAATCAGTTAGGATGGGCAGACCAGATTCAGCTTTCATTTGGTTATACTGAATTGTCTGGCCTGTCGTCCAATTTTTATCCTAAGCAAATCTTGAAAGGATTGTTTTCTTTTTAAGATTCATAGGTACAAATTGCCTTCAACAAGTAATAAAACTTGCATGACATGAAATTGATAAGATTATTTTAATTGCATTTGTAGCATAATTACTTTGGCTGTTAATGCTAAAGTCCTATGCACAAATTGAGAGTAATAACTAGATGTTTTATTACAGATTTACACTAATTTTAACCTTTAATAGGTTGTTTTCATCACAAATTCATGAGAAACACAAAAGGAACTCAATTCTTTTAAGCAAGGATCTGAGTTCCTTGGAGGAACATCAAAACTAAGGGTTCGACTGAAATATGGATCAGTTCTAAACGGATGAACTGAAAAAATATTACCATCAAACAAGGTGAAACACAATTTGAAATTGTTTGAAATTTGCGAACAACCAGCTCTTTCAGGCTAAAATGCTCGAATTAAAACTGGTAGGGTTGGATAAAGCTGTTTTATTTAGCAGCTATATTCAAACAGCAACAAACTATTCACAATTTGTTTAATATATCAGGTTGCAAAATAAGTCTGTAACCCAATTAAAATTTCAGGTACTTCACCTTTAGTCAACAATATTTTAACGATTTTTTTCACTACCTGTTACCATCTTTCATATAATTTTGTAATTACAGCCTTCCAGAACTTCTCAGGTTTTTGGGCAGTGCACTAACTTTTTAATTAATCAAGGTTTTTAAGTTGAGATAAAAAAAGTCAATGGCACGAGCACGACATTTGAAAAATGGCAAAAAGGAGGGAAAATTCAAAAGGTGCGGTTGAGATGAGAAGTTGGTGTTCGAGTGGATCGAGGTCACGATAGCTCAAGTGGTAGAGCAGCGGCGTATCAAGCCGAAGATCGTGGGTTCGAATCCCGCTCGTGCCACTGACTTTTTTATCTCAACTAAAAACCTTAATTAATTGTTTGATATTAATTAGTCACACGAAACTAGTGAATTTAATAACTCTTTAATGGTTTTTCTGCATCCTTCTTGTGAAGTGAAGATTCTTCATTATTAGAGTTTTACATTTCACATGGCGTATACATTGGGTGGGGTAGCACATCCCAGCTGAGCTCCTACAATTTTTGGTGTATTCACAAAGATTTATGTGGTGAGCATTATTCTGCTGGGAAACAATCTCCTTGAGCCAATGCCAGTCGTTTTTAGTCAAATGCTGATTTAATCAATGTATGCAATCTACATTATAATATTTGGTTGTGTAATAGAAGCTAGATAAAGTATCAATTTACCAATCCAACAAACGCAAAGCATTACCTTCTTGGGATGATTCAGCTTTTGGAGTTAATAACAGGGGGTTGCTGCATTTTCCACAGGAAATAGACGGCAATGGACAGAGGCTGCAATCGCTTGATCCGAATGATGGGATCCACAGGCAATGCGTTTGTTGCCAATAATGGACACCAATCTAGAGATGTAATCGCAAAGTGAAGCGCCGGAAATGGACGAAGGCTGCAACTGCTTGGTCCAAAGGAAGGGAACCGTCCAGCCTCAATTAGCAGCGATTGAAGTAGGGCACGTCTGCCACTTTGAAACATTTCCAGGTCAGATTTTCCCCTCCCTATCGATCATCAATAGAAGAATAGTCTACTCGGACAGCCAGGTGGCACTGAAGGAAATTGCCGCACAGATGGTTAAGTCCAGAATTGTTTGGGACTGCATTAGAGCCCTGTCATACATTGGGGAAAATAACAAAATTACCCTTGCCACGGCAAGGAAAGTTCAATGAGGACACCTATTGGCTCTGAACCCTTTTGTGGCTTGCCAAACTGCCAAAAACACGGATAGATTAGACAATGGATTAATAAGTCCTCTACTCAATAGGAATGTAGCCCATGATAGAAGCATGCAAAAAAATTTATTAAAGGACCATTGTAACACTTAATAGAAGAACTACTAAATCTACTATGTGCCAGGGCTAGAATAATAGTTGGACTGCTAACTGATCACTGCAGACTGGAGGTAATCCAAAAAGAAGAAACAGCGGAACACATCCTCTGTTGGTGCAAAGGCTTTATGTAGGCTGAGATACCTAATCGTGTGAGAGGAAAAGCCAGGGCCTGAAGGAATACTGGAGTCCTTGAAAAGGCTTTGGGGGTCAAAAAGCCTCAAGCTTAACAAGGAGTGCTAGGCAAAAAAATGGGAGAGTACAATAGACCAATAATAGTCACAGTGTAAAAGAGGTCGGCTCTAATATAATCTATCTTCCCCTCTCCAGAATTCCCATAAACTAAGTACTAAACAAATTTTATTCATAAACAATTTTTGCTACACTAGTCCGTTTAATATTGTAATAACAAACAAAAAGGACCAAGGCAAGTCAGCCACAACTCTACTTCTCACACTAACCAGCGTGACATCCTCGACGGTCGGCTATTCGACTTGTATCAGTGGCTAGGCCCTTGCTGGTTGAGTCCCAGACTGCATTCACTTTTCAAGTCATCCCCTTTTATACCAGTTTCTCAACCCGGATAGAGGAGGAAAGGAAAAGCACAAACTGCTGGGCCAGATGTTGCCAACTTCCTTCTTGCAAGGGTTGGCCATGCAAAAACTCATAATTCTCAAGAGTTTTCATTCTCAGCCTCTTAGTCCCATGTCAATGGATTTTCAGCGAAGAGTGTACAATGCCCACCCCAAATTTATGGTGTATACAGTTCGGTATAGTGGACAGACTGTTCATCTCTTGCATTTATATGACTTCCAGGTTTGTGGGGAAACGTTTCTCGGTTCCTCTAGATTTACGACCTTATTTCCTACATTCGTTGAATTTCCTTTCGACTATTTTTTACTTTCAGCAAATATTCCTAACAAGGAAGACAGGGACCAGTTTACAAATTACCCTATGGATTTACTTTTCAACATTCGGAGTGAAAAAATAAAACTTTTTTTTTTAAACAACAAAACGGCAAACTTTGACAAAATGTAATACAAGTTTATACTGAAATAAATAAGGCAGGTAAACTGGCCTAAGTTAAGCCCTAACCATCCTTATAGTACCTATTATTAAGGAAGCAGTAAAAACTTTGTGAGGCTTCACTGGTGTGTGTGTTAACAGCAGTCGACTATTGAAAATAACTTCGATGTTTAGATCCACTATTCTTACTTTGCTTAATGGGTAAAAAAAATTACGGTTTGTTTTAAATAAACCACATTAGTTGGATAGAGCTCATACCAACAATTTTTCTGCATCCCCATTGAAATATGGTGATATAACATTTATTTGAACTTATTTCTTTTCACCAATGGAGGCCAGTTTTCTTTAAAGTTCTGAGTTTAAACCAGTATTTCCTTCACCAAATTATCATCTCTGGGTAAATCACTGGTGCACTACAGTTTTCATTACTTATTATTAATGATGGCTGTGAAACAGAAAAATAAGTTAATCTAAATAGTAGATATTCAGAAACCTTCTTCTTATAATAACTTAATATATTATATGTTGTCAAAACATTTTCATGGGATACTACAACATAAAAATTGTAATTGTAAGAATTAATTGATTTTTTTAAACTTTCAGGTCTAGCTTTTCTTCAAGGGCTTAATCTTTCAAAAATAGTTACAAGCAGGTTGAACCCATTAAAGGTTTGTATGCCAGTTATCGTCTCGCACTTTGCATCTGTAGCGAGAGCGTATCAGTTGGCGTACTGTTACACGGTGATAGAAAGGAATTCTAGGAGCACCTTGCCGCAAGTTTATATGGACAGCACTGGAGCTACTACATTGGTCGCCAGTGCCCACATAGACACATATTTTCCATTTGACCCTTATTTGTTGCCAAGGTAAAAAGCACAGAAACTACTATTTTCTTTTTGATTACATAAAACTAAACAACTTTTTAATTTCAGTTCAAAACCTTATATTACACCTTTTTACCGGGAATACATTGGACCTCAAGATAATGACGTGACTGAAACAAATCAACAGAATAAAACAGAAAATGATGATGATGATGACTTTTTGGTGTCCAGCACACCAACTGAATCGCCAGCATTAGAAACATTTTCATATAGCACATCTCCTGGGTTTTTACAATAACTTATAATTTTTAATTGTCTTATAATCTATATTTATTTTATTTACCCTGATTTGTTTTTGCATTTTTTAAATTGGCTGTGCATTTTTTTTTTGTGTGTAAAATTGTTGATTGATTCAACGAAAGTGTAACCGTGTCAACCAAGGTTTTTCAATGTGAGTCGATTATCATGTAATGTTTATACATGGTGCAGATTAAAGAAAAAGTTTAAAAATTGTTTGTTTATTATTTATTATCAAAAACCACATTTCTTGCACATTTTCATAAAATGCATTTGGAGTGAACACATCTGCTGCTGCAAAATATAAAAAACTTTGATTCAGACTACTCATGGTTATTAGTTTTTTAATTTTATTTATTCATTCCATGTTTATTTTTGTAATGATTACTTTGTCGCGAAATTCGCCGCAGATCGTCCTGGAAATAAGTGGAGGCTGAATGGAACTGTGTTCTTTTGTATCATCCCCCTTCAGGTACAACCATCAAAAAATACACCTAAGGAGGATTGACAAGGAAAATCCACTTATCGCCTTTATGAACGAAACTTTGTCAGGTCTGCTGGAAACCTAGTGAAAACCTGTAATTTCAATTCAGTCATATGATCGAGCATATAAAATCAGCAAGAATTCAGCAGACCAGAACGACACACTACTTTTAGTTGCCATCTAATCTAACCATTCAATAAAAAGGAATATGCACGAAAAAATGATAAATCTTTATTTATTTAAAATGTATTTATTAAAATTATATAATACATTAGAAATTGTTGCTATATACAGTTATTTGCTGATGAAGTTTATGCTTGTATTACCATCTTATTCATTATAGTTTCCCTGAGCTCTAAATTAAAGATTAAATTAAATTTAAAAAAAGATGTAAAATTAATAATTATATCAATCGATGGATTACTTACTTATTGAAAATTGCTAAAATTGTTTTAAAACTTTCAGAGTATCTTCCTTCATTTTTTTCTGCAGCGTTTAACCAATTTTGTCTTACGTTTTTCCAATGTTTCAAATTATCTCTTAAAATTGTGTCTTTGTTTGGTGCTTCTTGCCCTTCCTAAAGTAAATTAATTTGTGTGTAATTTTTTTTTTTTTAATGTCAATGAGGCAAAGAACTATACTTACTTTATAAAATTTCTTGTACTTTGTCACATACACTATAGGCTTGGGAATTCTAATCTGGACATTTTTCGGTGCTGGCACTGGTGGAGGTAACCGGTACACATTTTGACCTGAAATTATGTCCTTTTCGGTTTTTATTGTATTTTCTTCTTTTACCTCTTGGGGCTCGGGAGATGATTGTTTCTTACTAAAATGAAATGGTTCATCAGTATGAGGAAAGAATTACACAAAAAATCGTTAACCTGTTGTAAATTTGATGCGGCTGGTTGGCGATCCATGCTCGGCAGATTGGATAGAGCGGTGTGTTTTCGCTGAACTGTGCCAAGTCAACACTTCTATCAAAAAGTTTCATAACAAACGCTTGTTGGAATTTGTTAATGTCTGGTTCCACTGATTTTTCATTTGTCTGTTTTTTCTTCTGAAGTGATAATCGTTTAGACCTTTACAGAAGTCATGAATATTACTTATTTATTTGAATATCATAAAAAAATTGAAATACTTTGATGCCCATTTTTCTTCATCACTGCTCTCAGATTCTTCTTCTGAATGGGGTAAAAGGTCTTGAAGTGCCCCTTTAAATCTGTCTCTAGCAGATATGACTTCATCTGCACCTGCAAATAATTCCTTATGATCACATCATAGACTTTTATAACAAAAAATGTAAAAATCATGGTTAAGCATTTATGCATTGTAAGTTAAAAATATGTAGCTTGATTTTCCCTAGCATTTGATTCTTTGGTTAAAAAAATTACTTAAAAAATAAAAAATTGCCTTATATAATAAAAGGCCCACTAGTCAACTAGTTTTTGGAATTTGGTCAATTTCAATCATTCTGGACTGCCTATTCTCAGTTTTGATCAGTCAAACAAGTTTTGGTATTACATCATCTTCAGTGAAAGGGAGAACAATCAGAAATGTTCGAAACACTCTCGCTTCAGGTCTCTCAAGAAGAAAGCGCAATTTAGTTAACTGGTAGAAAATTAAGATTAAGAAACTATCCAAATGGATAGGGTAAGCCTTTTAATTGTAGATGGTTTCTGTTTAAGAATTTCTGTGAAGTTGCTGAAGCACCCTAAAAAAAGCTTAGACTAAGCTATATGGTGTTATACTACTGCTGTAGACTATTATGACTAACTAAAAAACAGCTAAAAAAATGCTTAACTAAAGAAACTACCCAAATGGACAGGGTAAGCTGGATAATTTTTTAAGACATTTTTAAGAAAAATTTCAGTGGCAAGAGGATTCGTTTAAATAAATCAAACAAACTTGTTTTGACAAAATAAATAAAGAATCTATCCAAAATATAGGGAAAGCTGCATAACTTTTGATGATTTCTTTTTAACAAGATTTCCATGGCAAGAAAAATTGGATAAAAGAATCAGATGAACTGAATGGCATAGGAAATAGAATTTTTTTTTGGAGACAGCTAAGTTTTTAATGGATTAATAAAACTTCTTTTTGGTCCCAATAAATAAAAAAAACAGTTCTTGTTGATGAATCCCAAAAAGCTTCAGGGCTTATTGAATCTTCATAATTAGCTTTATAACTAATTTTTGTCAGTTTCTTGTAAAAAATAATTTCAGAGGCAAGAAAAGTAGGATAAATGAATCAAAAGAACTAGTTTTGACTGTTTGGAAATGAATCACAAAAAGCTTTAGGGCCTTTTTTGAATTTGTCTTAATTAATCATTGAATAAACATAATTAGCTTTATAATTAATTTTTGAGTTTCTTTTTAAGAATAATTTCAGAGGCAAGAGAAGTAGGATTAATGAAATAAAAGAACGAGTTTTGACTGTTTGGTAATGGAATTTTTCAGGAGAGAGGTCACTTCTTTTTAGATCCATATTAAAAAATAAACCAGTTCTTGTTGATGAATCCCAAAAAGCTTCAGGGCTTATTGAATCTTCATAATTAGCTTTATAACTAATTTTTGTCAGTTTCTTTTAAAGAATAATTTCAGAGGCAAGAAAAGTAGGATAAATGAATCAAAAGAACTAGTTTTGACTGTTTGGAAATGAATCACAAAAAGCTTTAGAGCTTTTTTTTAATTTGTCTTAATTAATCATTGAATAGACATAATTAGCTTTATAATTAATTTTTGACAGTTTCTTTTTAAGAATAATTTCAGAGGCAAATAAGTAGGATTAATGAAACAAAAGAACGAGTTTTGACTGTTTGGCAATGGAATTTTTCTGGAGAGAGGTCACTTCTTTTTAGATCCATATAAAAAAAAGTAGATGAATCACAAAAGGCTTCAGGCCTTATTGAATAGTCATAATTAGCTTTATAATTAATTTTTGACAGTTTCTTTTTAAGAATAATTTCAGAGGCAAGAGAAGTAGGATTAATGAAACAAAAGAACGAGTTTTGACTGTTTGCCAATGGAATTTTTCTGGAGAGAGGTCACCTTTTTAGATCCATATAAAAAAATCAGTTCTTGTTGACGAATCACAAAAAGCTGTAGGGCTTATTGAATCTTCATAATTAGCTTTATAACTAATTTTTGACAGTTTCTTTTTAAGAATAATTTCTGAGACAAGAGAAGTAGGATAAATGAATAAAAAGAACTAGTTTTGACTCTGGAAATGGGATTTTTCTGGGGAGAGGTCTTTTCTCAAATTCAAAATATAATAAAGAAAAGAATTACTTGTGATTTTCAATCCGTCGAGGAGCTTTCATGCAGCAATTCAGTTGATAATGACCCAATATAAATGAAATATATATTTAAATAGCAGTCACACAAAGCTAGATTAGTTAGCAATTAAGACTACAACTTTAAAAAAAGGCAACAAATCTTACTTTGCGGAGACCTCTCGACGGTTCGGCCTTTGTTCGATGAAGGCAGACGTCTTTTCTTCACCATTTGGCACCGGATGTTTTGACACTACTGTCTAGTTGGAAAAATAAAGTTGAAATTTTCTGGAGACAGGCCCACTTTTTAAAATCAAAACTTGAGAAAGTCACGACAAGATAGGGGCTAGCGTCAACGGATCTCCTCTTTACCGCCTCGAAGTTGGGAAGCACGTCACACCTCGTCACCGATAGCTTTTGGTGATTTACAACCCCCAACCAATGTCGTCTTAATAATAATAATATATTTTACGGAATTAATCGAATTTACAAAAATGCCTAAATATAGAGTTATACAATACATAATATATAACAATATAATAGCTTTTCTATAAGAAAACAGGAAAAATTACACAAGTACTAAGCAGTATGTAAAAATGAAAATAAGAAGAATGTTATGTTGTTGTTAAAAGAATGTTTCATATAAATACACCTAAAAAAATTGTTATTGTAAATTTTTGAATTGTCGTTGTAAATTAATTTAACATATTTAAAAATATTATGTAAGAAAACAATTACATAAAAATATGTTAATTTAGTCAAATAAATATTAGGGTATTTTGTGCATACTTAGTTGAATTATATTCAGTAAAAATTTTAATTAGAAATTGTGTAAATTTAAATATGGAAATATGTACATATACATGCATATATAGAAGTGAAAGTTAAATAATATGTATTAAAAACATTTTATTGTTATAAAAATAATGAAAGATAATTATGAATAAGTATTAAGTAAGTAAAAATTAGGGTATTTTGTGCATACTTATTTAGTTGAATTATATTCAGTAAAAATTGTAATTAGAAATTATGCAAACTTGAATATGGAAATATATGCATACACATGCGTACTTAGAAGTGAAAGGTAAATAATGTGCATGAAAAATATTTTATTGTTATAAAAATAATTAATGATAATTACTAATAAGTGTTAAGTAAAAATTAGGGTATTTCGTGCACACTTAGTTGAATTATATTCAGTAAAAATTGTGAATGCATACATAAAAGATAAAGTTAAATAATGTGTATGAAAAACATTTTATTGTTATAAAAATAATGTAAGATAATTATAAATAAATAGTAAGTAAAAATTAGGGTATTTTGTGCATACTTAGTCGAATTATATTTAATTAAAAATTATGTAAATTTAAATATGGAAATCTATACATATACATGCATACATAGAAGTTTAAGTTAAATAATGTGTATGAAAAACATTTTATTGTTATGAAAATAATAAAAGATAATTACTAATAAGTATTAAGTAAGTAAAAATTAGGGTATTTTGTGCACACTTAGTTGAATTATATTCAGTAAAAATTGTGATTAGAAATTATATAAATTTAAATATGGAAATCTATACATATACATGCATACATAGAAGTGAAAGATAAATAATGTTTATGAAAAACATTTTATTGTTATGAAAATAATAAAAGATAATTACTAATAATTATTAAGTAAGTTAAAATTAGGGTATTTTGTGCATACTTAGTTGAATTATATTCAGTAAAAATGAGAAATTATGTAAATTTAAATATGGAAATGTATACATATATATGCATACATAAAAGTTAAAGTTAAATAATGTGTACTAAAAACATTTTATTGTTATAAAAATAATGAAAGATAATTATTAATAATTCAAGATTTAACATATCTGCACATCTGTAGAAAAGAAGAATTAAAATTTGTAAGATGTGGAAAGTTATTGGCTAAACGCATTATTCTGTAGGAGTACTTTTACTACAGCTAGTATAATGGTAGGAAATATAAAAAAGTTTATTATTCAGCTGGGTAAAGTAGGTACTGAAAAGTTAATTTGACTAAGTTAAAAAGGACTGTCAATATAGTAGTTAATTTTTTGGAAAAGAGTAATTAAATCACAACAAATCTGTGTGTCTTTAGGGGAAGTAAATTAAAGTACTGTTGAAATTGTTCATAGTCAGTAATAGTTACTTCTATTTTATAGGCAGAATTTAATGTTTGAAGACTGCCAAATGTTATTTTGTTGAAATTGTCTATCTCCTTACATCATAACAGTCCAGTTCAAAACAAGGCTAATCTTGTTTAGACCACATCGTCAAGTTGAAAACAGTAATTTTAGAAGCTTAAAAAAAGGAATATCTTCATCACCCTGTTTCTGGTTATATAAAGAGCTAGTGATACGACTTGGAGAAGAGGTATCTTGAAAAACTTAAGAATTTAGGAATCAAGGGTAGAATAATTCATTTGATTAAAAAATGAATGAACAATTACCATCAAACTATAACAAAATATAATAAAGAATTCAAAATTTAGTGAACAGCAGACATATTTAAATCTTAAAACAGTTCTAGGGGACATGTGTTGGTGAAAATGGGGGCTTAATAATAGACCTTTTCCTACCATTAAACTAGCTACCATTTTGCGGATTGGGGGGGGACTTCAGGGTGAAATGTCCAGGACCCCCAGAGGTTGTAATCTTTTCCATAGGTGTATATTGTAAATGGTTTTTATCTACATCCTCCAAAAGGTGTTCCTTTCAGCATGTAAATGACAATGTTTTTCGAAGATGGAGGGACCTTTTGGTCCTCCCTGGCCAGTGGTGGTGACTGGTTGGCAGGCTAGCTGCACATGCCTCTTCGAGTTGGGTTCATAAAGGCAATGATGGGCTCATTTTGGTTTTTTACCTATAAAGAAAGGAAAAACATTAAAATGCTTTGTAAAACTGGATTTGCCATATTGCTTGTACCTTTAAAATTTTAAAAGAATCCCACTATTTCACTTGCAAAAATCCATTTTCAAACATTTATTTAGTTCACATTTGCTTAAATAATTTTTCAAGGAGGACAAACACTATTAGTTTCCTCTGATTCCTTTTTATTTTAAGAATTTGAAAAATTTATCTCTGGTCTCTTGCAATCAAAACTGCCTTAGAAGTTTTCTGAGATTTTCTTCTAATTTTTACTTCTTAAAGCAAATTTATTTTTTTAGAGAAATGAACCTGATGTTTTTTTAGTTTTTTTAAACTCCACCTGATTGAAAAATGTTAGAATAATACAACAAAACACTTTGTTTACATAAGTTACATTAGCAAGTCACTCTGCCAGCAAGTCTACACATTCAAGGTAATTGTTTTAGTCAAAATTCGAGTTTTAACGTACAATTCATTAACTTTTATAACTTTAATGTGTTGTTTATTGCTAAGCAAATAAATTTTTGTCAGACTAGTTTTTCTATAATGGAGTATAGAAATACAAAACTTTAACGCAACGAAAAAGATTTATTTTTATAATTAATTTGAATATTCAATCCCTAATATATTACAGGTTTATTAATTTGAAAATAATTTTGAATGTAATAATAAAGGGAAAAAGCATTAATAAACCTTTAAAATCAAGATTATTAAGTTCAGCACCTCATTGCGTTATGAAAAAGAATTTTTAAACATTTTAAAAGTATAGAATAAAATATAAAAATTCAACTTCAAGAAACTCTTTATAAATTAAAAATAGTTGCTTCTTCTGTTATTGTTAAATTATCATAGCTGATTTTTAATTTTTTGAAAGTCAAAAAGTTGAAAATGGAAGGAGCAGACAGAAACTCTTCAATTAAACAGTTCAATTAAATCATCTCTATTTCCAAAATGTAATTAAACATTATTACAAAAATTTGCGAAATCACTTAATTCCTATATTAAAAATTGCTTGTGGATATTTTTCTGGAAGTTGAAACTTTTTCAGGCCTTTCTTTTTTTCAGCAAGATCACACTATACAAACATGGTTCTCCCAGGATTTACACCAAAAATAACCACACATTTAGCTGCACTCAGCATGAGTAATACACAATTCAGTCTCAAAAAGGAATTGGTAAGTATGAGGGCTATGTACTGTTTTAAGTAATTATATAGTCAATAAAATTTAAAAAATAATCAATATGACTGAAATATTTTCCATTTTGTAGATATCCACAGTAAATGGTTGGTTGCATTATTTTTCAAAGAGTAAAGTTTCTTACCCAGAGACCGTGCCAAAGAAAGAACTTCCAAAAAAGGCTATTTTAAGTAAGCCTGTGAACAAATATGCTCTTTGCTCTAAAAGAAGTAGGTTCTTCGTGAATCCATTTCCAGAGGTGGAGGCATGTGAGAACACTAGCAAGACTAACAAATGTATATTAGATATTATAAAAATGGTAAAAGTGAATTTTGAAAATGGCAAGTGTTTTTCAGCAATCTGGGCACACAAAATGTTTTGCAATCTTCCTCATTCCATTTCAAAATCACCACAAGGATCTACGCATGCATTGAGTAAAGCACAGGAATTTTTGTTTAGCTGGAAAACAAGACAAACTGGTACTTTGTGTAATACCCAATTGCGCCATTATAGCACAGCTAAAACTTGTATGCCTACTCCTTCTCCCCCTCCGAATCAAAAATGTGTAATTCCACCGAAGAAGAAAGAAGAATGCTTAAAACAAAAACAACACGAATGGCAACCTGTCGATACGATTAAAATGCCATGCTGTTGCTGTCCGACAAAAGATGTTCGATGTTATACTGATGTCCAACCAAAGTTGAATCTGTGTAAAAAGACTGAATATAGAATACCAGCGTTTTCTGAATGCAAGAAGTCAGCATTGATTAAGATACTGCCAAAAGAATGCTGCTACCAAGCACTATTTTGCCCCTTGGACGGAAAAAAATGGTCTTCACCACAATTGATGACTACTAAAATGAGGCAAGAATTAATCCTGGGACGCCGCCGAAACAATTCAGTTTCTTCACAAAGTGGCTCTACTTCTAACTCTACAAAAAAAGACAACGGGTGTAACAGGTCGAAATAAGTTGTGATGTTATTGTTCAGATCAAGGGGTGCAAAGTGTAGGGTGCAAACTGCAAATGATATCAAAGTATGTCTTTTCAGCCCTGGATAAAATAAGAATACTTTTTTTTATAAATGTTTCCGTGCTACAAAGCTTTTTTTTCCAGCTTTTCTGTGGGTGAATTATTACTCAAGTGATATGTCTTATTGAAATATCATTGCAGATTAATGTACAAAGGCAGATTGTTTGACAAAAAAGTATTTGTTAAATTTTTCTTTTCTTTTTTTCTTTTAGTTTAAAATTTGCTTAGTTTGATAGAAATTGTTCTTTTTAGAATACCTTGAAAGATGATACATATGAAAAAAAATTTTTTTAGAATCTACGTAAATGTATACATTTATGCTGATCACTCATAATTTATTTTAAATTAATTCAATTTATATTTCCTCAAAACGTTATTATTTCAAGCATTTAATTTTTAATCTGAAATCTTGAGTTCTCAGTGTTTTAATAATTTTAAAATTAAAATCTTACAAGCTACGATTTCATAACCCAGATATATTTGTTTGCTTGTAATAAAATAATACTCCAAGGTTGACGACAAGAGCGTCAAGGATGTCCCAATATACTGAAATATCAGATGGTAGTATCTGACTCATATTCCTCTCAAGAACACTTTCTTGTAAATAAACATGAATCAAAAGGCTAAAAGGAGTTGGACTGTAGAGTCTCTTAAGATCTTGGGCACAAATATTAATCTATTGTGCAGTCTTAAATTTTTTTTATCAAATCTGAATTTTGGTATCATGGCGTTGACACACGTCCTCAGAGCCTTATCCGCCTGATGTTCTCGAACCTTTGTCTCTTTATGTAGACCGGCTTGGGTAAGCCAGTGGGTTGTGGCTTTAGCCCGTCCCTGGACGAAGATGTAGTGTTGACTTTCCACGGTGGCAGTACAAGTCATTCTCATTGTCCCAGTAATGTCCAGCCATGGACTCTGGGTGGCATTCATGGACTAATGAATACTTAGGATTGTATAAGATTTTGGCCAATTGCATTTCTCATTATTTATGGTTCGTACAACCTAGGCGATTGTTGGAAACAACGGGACTCTAATGGACCGAAAAAAAACCAAAGAAACGTGTAATTTAAAAATTTTAAGGAATATTGTGTAAGCAAGTATTAAAAAAAGGTAACTTGGTTATTGGGTGAGTGGTACCTTTTTACACCTAGGAAATTTGTTAAACATGTACCAAAGAATGCAGTTTGAAACATAAACGTTAGACAAAGAGTATTGTTGTTTTCAGTGAGGCTGACATCTATCTCTAGAACTCTGAGATTTCAGGGTTAAATATAGACCATAAGAAAATATGCAATTTTCCCTCAAAACTACGCTTTTTTTCAATGCCTCTTTACGTATTTCTTGATATGAGAATTGCCTAACTGAAATGGTACACCATCGCGCTAGTACCTCACATTCACAAAATTCTTTGCTATCCTTGACAGATTTGTTGACAAGTTTCTGTTTCTGCTTTGCACATCTTATTTAGTGGCAGTGGTCAATTAGAGGCCTATAATTTTCCTCCTTAGAGTTCCTTTACCATCCTGTTTGAGAGATTTATGAATCTGGTATCTTACCTCATACCTTGTGCTTTATCCAGTGCTTGAGTTTTTCTTTCTCAATCCATTTTTCCAGCTCCAACATTAGCACACTCTCCGGTGTGCCTAGTTTGTGGTACTTCATACCATGAGTAAAAGGGCTTCTTTGGTTAGTCAGTGTATTTGTTTTCTTCATACTTCACAGAACACCTCAAGGTAATCTTGTCCATCTAGGGCCATTTGGCGATTCAGTCTTTCCCAGACTAAGTAAACACTTTATGTCTGACTGTCAAAAGTATGTAAATCTGCACAACTTTCCTTTTCTATTTTTGTGTTTATTCTTTCCTTACCACAGAGTTGGCATGGGCCTCAGCGTTTAATATAGTTAGAAACTGTATAATAGAGCTAGGGTATGGTATGGTATGGTGCTATACTATTTGTACTATAGTATGTTATGGTTAGGGATGGTTATGTTTAGTATGTTAGTATGTATGGTTAGTATGTGGGATGGTTAGTTTGTTATGGTAGTATACTATACTAGGAAGTGGGGTTTGTGCCCCCTAGGCACTGCAGCCTTCTGGCTTATTGTGTCTTCCTTGTTCCTTAGTTCAGTGCAATAGACTCAAACCTTCTTCTTAGAAGTATTAGGTCATTGACCATCACTGCTACACTTTCATTCCCTAAATTTTTTCGTATGTTAGGTTAAATTTCCATTGACTGTTGCGTCACATTCGAAGATGATATCGGTGGCTGTTTCCTCCTCCTAATGAGTCAGTGTACTTGTTTTCTTCATACTTCACAGATCTACACAAAGTTAGTGCTAAAAGTACACACATATATGTCTGACTGTCATGATTTAATGACACAATCTGCAGATGGGATCATCGTTGTATATGCCCATGTTGTGCTTCTCTAATTGCAGCAGTCATTTTCCCAGTATTGGTGAGGGTTGTTTCATCATAAGTTTGCTGTGTCTAGTGCCGTTAGAGTTTATCCACTTCTCCTTTTGTTTGGATCTATTCTGCGATGGAGGATTCTATATTTGTTTTTGTTATCCCAAGTATAGGTTCGGGGCCTATGTATGGTCTTGCAGATCCTTCGGCCAGTCTGTCTGCTTTCTCGTTACCCAAAATTCCTCTGTGCCCTGGCACCCAAGATATCAAGTGTTTCCCCAGGTTTTGGGGTTTTTGGATGCATTCACTGACTAATTTTGATGTGATTTTTTTTTACATGTCAGTGTACTTGTGAATAGCAGCATTGGCTATCAGATCTTATAATTGTTTTGCCAGTGTAACCTCTTTTAAGATTTTCCAGGGCACAAGCAGAATAGGGCTAGGGAGTAATTCAGCCCCTTTACCCTGTAGTGTCAAAATTAGTTTTGCAGGCGGAAGTTACATAGCTGGGATCATCAGGTCTGATTCTTATTTTAGAGGTTTGATTTCTGGCATTAGCTGAATAAGGCTACATTCACAGGAGGCGATTATAGTTGATTCATTTAACTTAGTTGTCTGGTTGATCCTCAACTAGTTGCTGCCATGTAAACTTTTCTTCGTTGGTTTCATTCTACACAACTTGTGAAATCAACTTCCCTTCCCAATGGGAGTTTAGTATAATTCAATAGTTTCGTGGTCCGCTTGACCAATTAATATCTTACAATTAGATAAAAAAGTCAATGGCACAAGTGGGATTCGAACCCACGATCTTCAGCTAGATACGCCGTTGCTCTACCACTTGAGATATCATGACCTCGATCCACTCGGACACTAACTTCCCATCTCAACCGCACCTTTTGAATTTTCCCTCCTTTTTGACATTTTTCAAATGTCGTGTAATTATTTGATTCTCGACGACAAATGAAATGGCCACAGAGAGCTTTAGTGAAGGTATACTTCATTTTAAACTTATTAAATTCACTAGTTTCGTGGTCCACTTGACCAATGAATATCTTACAATTAATTAAGGTTTTTAGTTGAGATAAAAAAAGTCAATTTTTACAAGCAGGATGTTCTAATCTGAGGAAGCAGGAGCACTTCTTTTTCTACAAGATTCTCAGTGGTTACAAATTCGAAAAATGGCTTTTTTAACTACTGCTGGCCACTTCCTTTTAATTTTGTCACAATTCCTCACACTTATCTAGATATTAAAAAAAAAAAAAAGACAAGATGCAATTACGAGTACGCTTTTTACTGCACTGAGATTAAATTATAGCAATTTAAATTGTATTTTCTCCAAAGTAACATTTAGAGTTTATTATGATCGTTTATTTAATATTTTAATTTTCCGGCAGTTTCCAAGCATTTGCTACATTCATTAACAAATAACTAGCGGTCTCATGTGAAACAGGTCGAATTTTCTGATTTGGGTTTATAATAATAAATTTATTAAAGAAAAGTGTTGTCAAACAGCACGACACCTTGATGAACCATGCCCAGGGTTTTAATGATTAAAATCACACTAGATGAAATGATGCTCACAATATTATTAACAGATTTTTATTATAAACCTTACTACATGAACATTATTATAAAATGGTTTTATTAAAATGGGTATTAAATAATTTACTTTCTTTTATTACCATGTAGTCAATTAAGGACTGTTTAACAGAACCTTTTTGCAGTTTGTAACTTGTATCTAATGAAAACAAGTTATTTATGTCAATACATAAATTTTTATATTTGGCTGTAAAATTATAAGCAGTTCTAATAAATAATCAAAAAAATACATATATAATTGTACATTGTTTAAATTTTATAGTATGTACAAGACAAGAGAAATTCGATTAAATCTAAATAGCAAACGCTTCACAGCAGCACCGAACAGGCTATAAATTTCAAGCATAGTTGAGCTCAGTAATAACAGTACACTAAATTTAATGAAGGGTTTATATATAAAACAAGGAAATAGTGATTTTATTTTTACATAAATAATATATTATTGGCTATTTAAACCTACAATTATCCATGTTGTGTATGAAATTTAATAAATTTTTTATATGAAAGCTTACAATTGCTGCATAAAATTGGCGTACATTCAGAAAAGGAAAAAAAACACTGATCTTTGAAATCACAAAAGCCACTGTTCCACTTACAAAGCTGTGCAATTATATGTGAGTCAACACACAACAGAAATAAAATAAATTCATATCTAATAATAGTCTTGCAATTATTACCAAAGTCATTAACCATTTGGCGCAAACACAAAACAATTCAGTATCGGAGTATTTGTCATGACGATGAATTCGCTGTCCTCTTAAATGACGTTATAACGGATGAATCAAAGAAAAAAAGACACCAGTCGAACAAAAATAGTAATTAGCATTGAAAACTGCACACTCTAATATAATTTACTATGTAGCTTGTAATTTATTTTCATCTCTTGTTATTTATTGCGAAGGTCTTGCCTCCTATATGCGGAAACCAACCAGCAGCAAATGAGCGGGAAAAGTGACCAATGCGCCTTAAACGACCTGTTAAAAACAAAATTCTTTAGTATCTATTACTAACTTGTTTTACACAAACAGTAAAATATGGAAATATATTCCAACGGTTCAAACAAAAAGAGTCACAGTTAAAAAACAAAAACAAAATAAAACAAAGTTGATGAATAATTGATAGTAGTGGAACTTTAGTCAAAATAAATTACATTAAGTGATATATAATTATGTCACAGTAAAATATAATAATGGTCAAGGATTTGTTTAAATAATTTATTATAACATCCTGTTCCAAAGAATTAATTATTACTGATGATATATATTCATCAACTTTCCATTTGAATTGAGAAACATTAACATAAGGTAATTAATTACGGTAGGTACACTCAAAGTGAAAAAATCCTGCCCATTGGAATTTATTGGATGCTGCACAGTGGGTTGGATAGCGATATTTTATGAAATAGAAAAAATAATCAAACACCCTAATAAAAATTGCAATGTTTAATTATTACATAACAATATAAGGGGCTACAAGATATTTTAAAACATTTCAATTTTGGGCTCAGAATTTAACATTTTACATGAACATACCGGGTGTCCCAGTTCCATGTGACGAAACTCAGGGAATCGATTCTGCTTTCGTTTGGAGCAAAAAATGCCCAGGAGAAAATTTTCGGAAAGTTCTCTATTTTAAAGATATTCGTCAATTTAGGTTTTTTCAACTTTTCACCACCTTACCACATAAAAACGCTTACAACTTCCAAAATGTTGAGACTACAACAAATCCAATTACACCATTTGAAAGAACGCTAAATTTGCTGTAAGATACTTCTATTTGCAATAATCTGAATGACATAAAATGTTAGCCAATATTGGTTGAAGCATGTCAAAATTTAAAATTTTGGTCATGATTGCACGTTCTACTGAGGTTACAAAAAAATACCTACAACTTGTCAAATTTCACAAAAACTTCTTCATCTAACATGCTTTACGTTGATATATCCAGATTTTTAAATAGAGTTCTAGTAGAGTTGAAAAATAACAACTGAATGTTCGAAAATGTGAGCTAAGGTAAATTTGAAGGGGGGGGGGAGAAATAAATCAATTAGAACTTGCTTCCTTCCTAAATATCTTCAAAATGGAGAACTTTCCGAAAATTTTCTCCTGGGGATTTTTTGCTTCAAACGAAGAGTAGAATCGATTCCCTGAGTTTCGTCAGAAGGAAATGGGGGACACCCGGTATAATCGACTCATGAAAATTTGCAACTCAAAGGGCAACAAAAATAATTCACATTATCAAGAGGAAAGAAAATCAAATTATTAAGGGTCGATGTGCATTTTTACGTTAATAGGGAAAGGGCATAGGTCAACTAGGCTTTTTTAATAATAGTTGGTCCTAGATGGAACTTACAAAATGTAATTAACAGCTCACTGAAGTGGGAAAAACAAAAATGTTTTGTAGACTGTTAAATTGTGAGCTCAAAATTAAAATATTTCCCATATCATCTGTATTTACCTTATATTGTTACCTAAAGGTAAAATCATTGCCCTCAAAGTCAAGTTTTTGCTAAGTGGTTCTATTTTTGTCTAAAGTATCGCAATCTGGCCAACTGAGTGCTTTTTGTGTTACCGTCTCATAAAGTTTTAAACTTACTCTCAATATTGGAAATTGCACGTGCAATTATATTAGATATTTAAAATTATGTAAAAAATAATCATTTTCCAAATGAGTGGATTTTTTTTTGGCCCATGAGTGTATAACATCATACATTGTCATACCTGTTCGTGTGCAAGTATAACAGACATATAAATTAATCCTTTGGCAAAATATGAGTTCTGAATCATATTATGGCCAAATTTTGGCAATATTAACAAGACAATAGTTCACTAATATTAGTACTGAGAATTTGCTTTCCAAATTATTTTCCGACATTGAATTAAGTACTCTTAACCCCCAAACACCACCCAAAAGCCAACGTGTATTTATTTAATTTTTACTCAAATTCCACAAATGAGAAATAATAAAGTTGATACAAATACATTCGAGGGCTATGATACAGAGAAATTTAAATTTTTCATAATTTATCATTGGTTAAATATTGTTACATAATCATGCGAAAAACCATTCTCAGTAATAACATTATGTTCACAAAAAGAATTAAGCGAAAAACCATGCAATTAATAATTAAACAAAGTAAAAATAAATAAACTAGGATAGTATCAGGATAAAATCAGTACCTAGATTTAGGAAGGGCCTATGAAGTTGGTGCGCCCACCCGTGATTGGCGTACTGCAAACAAGGAAACACAGATGAGTGTTGTCCCATGGCAACGATTGCAAAAGCAAACTTTTCTTTTAAATTATATTAAAAGTTAAAAAGGATAAAGAAAAAGTTTGCTTTCGCAAATTAATATTTCACATGCTGAAAGGACCCTCAAACATTTTATAAATATGTTTTATTAGTAAAAATGAAAATAAAATAAGAAGGGATTTAAATCAAAAGTTGCACTTTGAATTTAAACCCGTCATGCTTTCAAATGCACATTAGTAAAATTGTAAAAAAAAATTCAATGAACTCAAAATCAATTTATAGTCATTTATATTATTTTTTAAAACTTTAAAGCTTAAGCTATTTTATATAACAATTTTTACTTTAAAGTAATAAATTGTTTGACCTGCATCCTTGAGGCAGTAATTCAAAACATTTAACGTAAGCTTTTAAGTTTTTATCCGTCAAGCTGGATAAACAAGAACACGGGTTAATTTAAAATCTGTTTCTAAAGTTATTGCACTAATAAATAACAAAGCAAGAACATGATATCAATCTTAATGTTTGTGTAAAAATAGACTGTGTTTTATAGGGTTTCATATTCAAGGATTACCGAGAAACCGAAAAATATTTGCTTGATTAAATGTCCACAGATAAGGACAAAAGTAACAAAAAAAAAAAAATAATAATATAGAACATTAGTCGTTATTATGTCCGTTATGTTTTTAAAAATACATCTTGAATGCAATATTAGTAAAGTTAATAAGAGTCATGAATTGTATTTCATGAAAAAGAAATTTCTTTTAAAAATTAAAAGAAAAAAAATCAAAAATGTTAAATTCCTTTAGATTTTACATAAAAAAAGCAAAAAAAACAATGTAAAAAAAATAAGTATAATGGGATGAGAAAATTAAGCGGAAGAATAACGCGGCAACTGTCTTTGTACCTTAGACAAATTAAATTTGATGCACCCCCTACTTGATCAGTTTTTTCTGTCGGAGCGGATTGTTAAAGAACCTGAACTGGAGTCTCAGTGAAAGGTCCTTCCGTACTAAATCAAATAAGAAATAATAATTAAAACGCATTTACCCAGAATAAACACTTACGCCAATTTGTATGTTGAATTATGCTTAATATTTTGGGTGGCGGGTGTATGAGCACTTTTGGAAAACTGTTTAATGTTTGAACATTGATCGAATGATTGTTATGCAAAATGAAATTAATTCCCAGAAGAGAACTCAAGAATAGTTATTACATTTGTTTAATATTATGCAATTGCTCAAAAAATTTTCATGTTGCAAGATTTAAAAAAAAAGAAAAAAAACAAAAAACTTCCGAGTCTCTCATTGAGAATTAAGCTTTTGTTTTGTCAATGTTGAAACAAGAGCAGAACATACATTTTAAAAGTTTTTGTTCCTTTGTTGTGTTGGATTAGTAAAATAATGTCAAATTGTTTCATGACACACAATCACGCTGTAGTTTTCTTATATTCTTTCTTTGGGAAAAGTGACTATTCCATTGAATTGTATTTTAGGCTCAAATAAAAACAGCCTGAACACGAATAGCCTTTTCTCCTTGTGTCTATAAATGAGTCGTGTATAATTATTCTCTCAATTCATCGCACAACACATCTGTCCTGGAAGAAAATAATAAAAGGAGGCCTGGAGCGTTTCTGAGTTAATTTCGCCTTTGGAGCAATAAATGAAAGATAAAAAGGTCAAGCATTTTAACCAGGTGTTCCACCGACGAGGTGATTATTTTCTGCTGCTTATTTGGAACCCTTCAGGACCACCACCGAGCCGTACGCTGAATTGTGCCTTGGTATCTCGATTCAGCCTGACATCTTGGGCACATTGAATCAAATATATAAAATATGCAAGAACAAAGCAAACATTTTTATCAATAATTAAATGCAAAAAAAAAAATAAATAAATAAAAAATAAAATAAGATAATAAAATAAAAAAGATGGAAGTTAATAGGGGCAATGCAAGCAAAGGTGGTTTGTTGTTAAAAAAAAATAATTAAAACATATAAGGGAAAAAATTAGGCATAAAGCAGTGAATTTAGTATTAAAAAAAATAAAACAAAATAAAAAAAGCATATAAAGAAAAAAATGGTATTTTGAAGCAAGCCGTATTTCTTTCTATCCCATTACAAAAAAAGGTATTCAGATCAATTGGTGCACAAAATCTCTTTTAGATTTCATTCATATAATGCATTTTTTTTCCTAGAAATAAACGGAATCGGGCATTCTAGCTGGACATTAACACAACGAACTTTTTACTTTAGCTGTACTAAGTTGTGCAGTGGAACCAGTTTCTCTTCTCATCACAGTGCATAATGATCATTACAAAAAAATCACACACTTGTCTTTTCGTTTCATTCCGCTATTCCTTTTCGCGGGATATCATGGATGATGAACGTTCGACATTTTTAAATTCACAAGGAGTGATAAAATCTTCGACCGAAGAGACGGGCTTTGTCGAATTTTTGTCCGATTTGCATGTCGGGTTCGGTTTCCATGAAACTATTTTATCAAACACTTCGTCGGATATTTTAGGCTCGTACATCGGCCTCAGATGTTTGTGTTCATGTGGATCTGATTCGTGAAGGTGGTAAACTGTTATAAAGCGAAATCAAAATTAGGAAGGCTGTTAATTTATGGAAAAGGCAAAGAAAAATAATATATAAATAAAAAAAAGAATTAAAAAAAAAAAAAAAAAAAAAAAAAAGCGATGTGATGGATGTTTGGTAGGATGGATATATGAGCCAGCAAATGGCATACCTGAAAATTGCATCTACATAGAGAAAAAACACACAGAAAAAAGTTATAAATATTTTCACAGTATGTTTTGTTTTTATTTAGTCTTACAATCCTAGTTTTTTTTGTAGGTATTAACTTATATAAAAAAAGTTAATTTAATTCATCCAATTTACTGTTGATATTAAATTACTCGAACATACTGATTTTTTAGTACTTACTCCTATCAATGTTTCGTTGGAGGTGATTTGCAACCCTCTGCCTGGCATCATTATATTCGAGATGAAGACCTAATCTGAGAAGTGTAGGGTTTTGTTCTACAAGATTTGTTATCTCCATTTCAATTTTATTGCCAAGCACGTAACATCTCTGAAAAGAAAACAATGGTAAAATATATAAATTGAATAACAACAAATATGATGTGAGAATTGATTTTTCTGAGGAATTGATCAATGACTTTTCCATCTTTGTTTTGATTTTTTTTGTTTCTCACAAAATTACTATTGGACTTTTTATCTGACAAGAAAGGGTATAAGATTAACAACAAAAAAATTACTAAATTTATTTCTATAATAATTCTAATTTGTTGAATTTGATACTTGATTATTATAAATTATAAACTGAAAATATAAAAAAACTATTCATTTTCAATCAGATAAAATAATAAACCATACCTGATTGGCCCCTCGGAATTCTTCTAAACTTTTTTGAACTAGTAATGCCTTTATGAGTCGGAGGATAACTTGTGGGCTGAGGAAATTTGTCTCCACACTGATACACAAGAGGTAAAAATTAGAAAACAACCAAATTCGACTAGTTTGACCACATACTTCAAAACTTTGAGTGTGCAGTTCTTTTCGATGGCTTCTGCAAGCTTTAACGCGTGTCTGTCAAGAAGGCCGACATTGGTGAGGCTAAGTGTTTCCAAGTGGGTATTTTCTCTGAGAGCCATGAAAAGGTTGTTGAATTTCTCATCAGAGATATTCTGAAATGAAAAAAAGGTTTTGTAAAAAGGAAAAAAAAAAATTCAACGATAAAACAAATACCCTAATATTATTCCAATTCAGAGTGAGAAGCTCATGGTCGTCGTCTTTAACCATTTGTATAGTCTTGTCCACATCGGTATCGTTCGGAGGTTCGACTGGGTAAACTTTCTGTTGTGTCGCTTTGGTGATGCCGTCCCAACCGAGTCCAAGCGGCTGTCCTTTGTTCAAGAGAGAAGCATGGTACTGATCTTGGTTCATCATCGAATGGAAACCGAGAATAGCTGTAAACAAAAGTACTTATTATCTCTGCGATGCGCTTTTAACATTTTAAGATCTAACCGGCCAAGTCAATAATTTCTTCTTGAGTCGCATCGCTTAAAGCTTGTTCATACTCATCTCCCAAGTCAATGGCGATCTGTTCTTCAGCCTCTTTCAATTTGACTGACACAGGTGGTGGAATCCACTATAAAAATTTTAGATAAACAATTTCATAAGGAACTTTTTTTTTGTTTTAATATAGAATTTTTTAAAAACCTTTTTGCCTCTAATTGTTCCAGCAACGAATGGTTTCAATTCAGGTTTATCTGGAGTTTCCAAGGCTTGCTTGTTAATGTGCTCAATCAACTTTTTCCTATCGAGAGGCCCGGTAGGACTCTTTTGACATTCGTAAGAACATCTTTGTGATGGCGGTAAAAGAGTATCCTAAAAGAATCATTTCAAATGTTACATTTCTCAATAAAATATATTTCAAAAGTTGTTAATCACTTACATCCGGGTCGACTTCTTTTACAAGCATACTGATTTCTTCTTGCGTGAGTTGTGATAAGAGTTGGTCAACGTCCATTTCGTCATATTCGGACAGATCTTTACCATACAACTTGGCTGCGGTCGTCATTGTCGACGTTTTTGTTGTTGAAGACGTCTGGAAAATGTAAAAATAACCCATGAAGCCTTATAATATTCAATAGGTCTGGAAGGTCATAAGTTAAGTGTGTTAAGATATGCAATGACACAATTCTTTGGTTTTCTCTAATTGGGAATCAGCTTAAAGGCAGTTAAAATTACAATTATATTAATCATTTCTTAAAATTACATTAATATATTTTGGTTAAATTTATCCTATAAATTCAGCATGAATTGTAAATGAACTGAATATAAAAAATGCACGATATTCTACAAGATCTGCAAAGAATTATGTTCTTATGTGGCTGCTATAATTAAAAAATTATTAGAATTTACAGCATTGAAGGAAGAGAAAATTTGAACTTTTAAGAAATAAAACCAATGATCAAATGAGATTTTTGTTATCTGGATTATGAACCAACAGAATGACCATTTCTGATCATACTAATCAACCAATCCTCCTTTTTTTTTGGTTTCTCAGGCAAATTTTGACATCTTGCCGGCCATTTACCGGCTCTTATTAAAGGAAAACATGACTGACTTATTTCTTAGTAATATTAGTCAACTCTTAGAGTCAATGAATATATAAATATTGGCTGAAAATTTGTTCCTAGGTCTTGCGATATACAGAAATAGTTGGAAAAGGATTGTAGACAGAACTTAAATACTATTTTCACCCTATAATTCAAAATATTCAAATGAGATTTATGTGCGATGTCCTCTTGAGATGTGTGGGACCTGTTTGTTAATTCTGATCTATCAATCCATGTTGTTTTGGTCTGTCCGACACATTTCAGCATTTTGCTAGTCTTTTACTGGCTCTTATTCAAAGAGGAAAAAAAGCGATGGCCTTATTTCTGTTTTATCAACAAAAAAAAACAAAAATCCTGTGATTTCCATTAGAGGATTGCAAGATGGTGAATCTAGTTTGGTTGTTTCCAATCATTTTGGTCTGCCGATCAGAGAAGTTTTGATCTGTCAGGCCAATACAGTAAGAACAGGCAGGTTCAAATAATTGGAAACACCAAAATTAGATTAAAATTTTTAAATCCATTGTATTTTTGATAAACTTATTATCAGCACAATTTTTTGAAAGTCTCTTAATCCCATGAATAACTAAATATTGGCAGAAAGTTTGTTTCTAGGGCTGGCAATGTATAAAAATAATCAGCAAAGGATTTCTGGCAGTACTTAAGCACTAATTTAATGAGTCATGTCATAAATTTTATCTGGAATTGGACAGCATTCAAATGGTGTTTTTGTGAAATTTCCTCCTGAGATCTATGGGATTATGAACTTTCAATTTGGATGATTCTGATCGTTTTGATTATTTGATCTGTCCGGAACATTTTGTCATAACGTCATTCACCGGCTCTTATTCAAAAGGGAAAAGAGACCGAATTATTTCTGTTTTATCAACTGAAAAACGGAAGAACAAAGATACTGTGAGATTTCCACTAGAAGGCTGCAAGGTGGTGAATCTGCAATTTGGCTGTTTCCAATTATTTTGGTCTGCCTATCAATGAAGTTTTGATCTGTCAGGCCAAAACAGTGAGAATAGGCAGGTTCAAATAATCGGAAACACAGCATTAGATTAAAAATTTTAAATGCATTTCATTTTTTTAAAATTATTAATTCAACATGGAAAATTGATTGAATTATTTCTGTTCTATCAACTGAAAAATAGAAGTATATAGAAACTGTGAGATTTCCACTTGAGGGGTCTGCAGGGTGGTGAATCTGTAATTTGGCTGTTTCCAACCATTTTGGTCTGCCTATCTGCGAAGTTTTGTTTTGCCAAAAACAGCGATAATAGGCAGGTTCAAATGAATGGAAACAACAAAATTAGATTAAAATTTTTTAAATGCATTTTACTTTGTTAAAATGAGTACAACTTTGACTGACTTAATCTAATTGATAACCAAACATTGGCTTAAAGTATGTTCCTAGGGTCTGGGTAATGTATAAAAAAAATTGGCAAAATATTTCTGACAGTACTTAAATATTATTTTAATCAAATCGTGTCAGGAATTCTGGAATTGGGCAACATTTAAATGAGATTTTTGTGAGAGTTCCTTTTGAGATCCGAGGGATTATGTGCCTACAGTTTGGTTGTTTCTGATCATTTTGGTCAGACAGATATAAACATCACAGGCAGACCAAATTCATTGGAAACTAAACAACAGATTCTGACCTTACAAGACCTCAAACAGAAATTTCACAATATTTATGCTATTTCTTTGTCGATATATTTTTTAAAATTTATTATCTGCACAAGTTTTGATTTACTCTTAACCTAGTGAATAATTAAATATCGGTTGAAATTTTGTCCCTAGGTCTGGCAATGTATAAAAATAATCGGCAAAAGATTTCAGAAAGTGCTGAAATACTATTTTAACCAAATTGTATCATGGTTTATGGCAATATTTAAATGAGGTTTATGTGAGATTTCCTTTCGAGATCTGAGGGATTATGAATTTACAGTTTCGTTGTTTCCGATCATTTTGGTCTGACAGATAAAAGCATCACAGGCAGAAAAAAATCATTGGAAACTAACCACAGATTTACACCTTGCAGACCTCATCGAGCAGAAATTTCACAGTATCTATGCCATCTCTGTTTGTCAATATTTTTTTTTTTTCTTTTGAACTTAGTATCAGCACAAGTTTTGATTTACTCTTAACCTAACAAATAATTAAATATCTGTTGAAAGTTTGTTCCTAGTTCTGGCAATGTGTAAAAATAAGAGGCAAAAGATTTCTGGCAGTACTTTAATAGTCATATCATAAATTTTGTCTGGAATTGGACGGTATTCAAATGGTGTTTTTATGAGATTTCCTCCTGAGATCTAAGGGATTATGAACCTTCAGTTTGGAAAATTCTGATCAGTTTGATCTGAAGGATATAAACATCACAGGCAGAACAAATTCATCGGAAACAACTAAACTACTGATTCGCCGCCCTGCAGACCTCAAACGGAAATTTTTTAATCTACGTTCTTCTGTTTGTCGATATTTTTTTTGTTAAACTTATTATGAGCACAAGCTTTTATTTATTCTTAATATAATGAATAATTAAATATTGGCTGAAAGTTTGTTCCTAGGTTTGGCGATGTAACTAACCGGCAAGGCATTTCAAGAGTACTTAAATACTATTTCTGTCAAATCATGCCATGATTTCTGTCTTTGACACAACATTCCAGTCTAAAAAAACAAAAACCATTAAGATTACAGGGCTAATGGTGAATAAGGATTTGACATTTGTTTTTTATTTATTGGTTATCCTTATTTAGCCTGTTTATTTTATTATATGTAATTATGGAAATTGGCTTGGAAGGGTTTATTTGTAGAAAAATTATTTGACTGCATCTGTTTCCAACTCATTACGACCCACTAGGCCAAACTGTCAATACATTTGCCGACCACGCCTACCCAATTGGAAGGTCTTTTGACAGAATATGCCCTGATGAAAAGTTCAGGTAGACAAATCGAAGTTAAAAGCGATGAAAGATTCCAAGGAAAGTTATTTTGAGGCTTATCTTTTTATTTAAAATCTCAACTTCAGCGGAAGGTGTCGGTTTCATTTAAAACTGGGCGTTGTTTTCATTATTGATTTTTTTTAATGAGTTTTAAACGCTGGGGATTTATCTGGGTCTCGTTGTTTAAAAAAGAATTGAAATAAGAATAGCTTTTTAATAGGGAAAAAGAAAAACAGATGGGTAAAATCAAGTCGTTTAATATCAACACGATAACCTGCCCGGGCGTGCTGTCACAAGAGCGGCTCACCTTTTATATTTGACTCCGTGTCGGCCTGGTTTGGGGCGGCGGCAAAGGGCCGAAAGGACGTGCGGCAAAGACGAACCGTCGGCGACCCGGGGGACAAGAAACACGCCCACTTCCAGTTCCAGGACAAACGGCAACTAGCACTCGGCGACTCGGTCTAGCGATATGACTTCCAGTTCCAGGACTCTAGCGCAGGCAGAATAAGGCGACGGTCAAAAGCCGAAAGCGTCGATACTAGCGACTCCACGAGGGGCCCGCCAGCGATTTTCGACCGAGATGCCTATTTTTTTTTAATTCACTTTCACACAAAAAAGGTGAAAGTCGGCTTACGGTCTGAAATGTACGGTAGATTTGGTATTTGCGCTATTTACCAAAAAAAAAAAAAAATCATTCCGGATGAATAATTTTTACTAGGCACATTTTAGGACTCAATCCACAAAAAATCCTAGTTTGGGCAAAGCCGAATCGACAAAATTGAAATCGATTCAAAAAATAAATATTGGGAAAAATATTACCTAAAACTACATAAAAATCTTCTAATTTAATTAGAAAACCTCAATACAATTAATTTATTTTCTGTAATACAATTTGAAATGGAAACATAGCTATGTTATGCCCCAATAAAAATGAGGGGGTACAAAAAACAACAAACAAAAGAGCATCCGCAGACCCATCAACCAGAGAAAATATACAAACACTGAAAAAAAGTCCATCCTGGCCTGGATTTGAAGATACATAGGTAATCCGGGAACGATGACGCATATAAGACAGCTTATATACTGGTACAAGTTGGCCACGATACCACTCGACCCCACTCATGAATTTAAAGAAAGAACGATTGCCAATGCAATAAAAAAATGACTGGGAATCTGCTGGAACGAAAAAAAGTATGTTTAAATTATTCCCATTTAAAAAGACAGGTCCCTGGACTGCAGAGACCAGGAATGGAGATAATTCCAGGTTGCGCATCCCATCTGCAGATTATGTAATGAGGAGGAGGAAACAGCCACTCATATCATCTTCGAATGCGAAGCAACAGTTCAATGGAGGTTTATCCTAACGTACGGAAAAGACTAATGGAATCAAATTGCAGCAACAACAGTCAATGACCTGATACTTCTAAGAAGAAGGCTTGAGTCTATTGACTGAACTAAGGAACTAGGAAGGTACAATAAGCCAGAAGGCTGCAGTGCCTGGGGCATACAAACCCCGCTTCCTAGTACCCTTTCCACCATACCATATCATACCAGGTTGTGCATAGATCGTACAAATATACACGGACATCTTCTAATGGGTTAGACCACTCAGGTGCCCAATAAAAATTGGGTGTTAAAAGCAATATAAAAAACAAAATACCATTCGCAGATCCATTAACCAGAAAAAATACGAACAACTGAAAACAGTCCATCCAGGCCTGGATTTGCATACACATAGGTGTAACCGGGAAAGATGACGCATATAAGACGGCTCATATGCTGGTACAAGTTAGCCACGATGGCACTCGACCCCTCTGGCGGATATAAAAAAGAATGATTGTCGATGCAATACAAAATGACAGGAGAATCCGCTAGACCGAAAGAAGGTTAAATTATTCCCATTTGAAAAAGACTTCGGTCCTTGGACTACGGAGGCTGTGTCTAGAATGGAACAGGTCTACCAGGTCATAAAATATCACACATGGACATCTTCTAATGGGTTAGACCTCGCAGGTGCCCAATAAAAATTGGGTGTTAAAAGCAATATAACACAAAATAGCATCCGCAGACCCATTAACCAGAAAAATATATTCGAACAACTGAAAATAGTCCATCCTGGCCTGGATTTGCAGACCCATAGGTGTAACCGGTATGCTGGTACAAGTTAGCCACGATGGCACTCGACCCCTCTGGCGGATATAAAAAAGAATGTTTGTCGATGCAATACAAAATGACAGGAGAATCCGCTAGACCGAAAGAAGTTTAAATTATTCTCATTTAAAAAATACATCGGTCTAGACTGCGGAGGCTGTGTCTAGAATGGAACAGGTCATACAAATATCACACATGGACATCTTCCAATGGGGTGAAGCCACGCAGGTGCCCAATAAAAATTGGGTGTTAAAAGCAATATAATAAAAAAAGAGCATCCGCAGATCCATTAACCAGAAAAAATATATGGACAACTGAAATGGATCGAAGTCAGTGGAAAAAAGTCCATCCTGGCCTGGATTCCCAGGCACGTAGGTATAACTGGGAATAAAGAAGCATCCAGCGAATTTAGAAAAGAACGATTGCCAATGCAATACAAAAAGACTGGAAAATCCGCTGGGCCGAAAGAAGTACGTTTAAATTATTCAAGACATCGGTCCTTGACCTGCGGTGGCTGGGTCTAAAATGGAACAGGTCATTACCAGGTGGTGAAAAAGTCATACAAAGACCATACCTTTTAAAGCCACGCAGGTGCCTGTTGTGTGGAGAAATTATTTCGGTAGAGCTCATAACAACGGAGAGCAAAGACTACTGTGGTGTAATGCGAATGAAATGTGGTGTGTGAATGCAATTTATGAGAATGATGAAGGGACTTATCTTTACTCCGAGGAATATCGAGAAATCTGAGGTGGTGTGAATGAACGGCGGTGTGTGAATGTACTTTATTAGTATGAATGAAAGACCTTATCCCCAATCACCTCGATGGACATCGAGTATTCTGGGATACTATGAACGAAGTCTAATGTGGTAAAGTAATTTATTAGCGTGAATGGTGGGGCTTATGTTCAATTACTCCGAGGAATATCGACTATCCTGGGTATAGGGACTAAGTCTGATGTTTGATTGCAAAGACTTATCACGAATTACCCTGAGAAATATCGAGTACTCCAGGGTAGTGTGAATGAATTGAGATGTCTGAATGTAATTTATTATCGAAATCGAAGGGCCTTATCTACAAATATTCGAGTACCCAGAGGTTGTGAGAATGAATTGTGGAGGGTAAATGTAATTTATTAGCGCGAATGGAGTTACGTATTTAATCAAAAAAAATCTTAGTACTCGAAGAAGAAGAAACGACGAAATACGAAAAATAATGTCTTCTATTGGTACGAACAGATTCCAAGACCAGAAGGATACACACAGGAAGAAGAAAGCTTAATAAAGGTTTGGGATATGAATAAAACCCTTAAGCTCTTAATATTAACGAAGAGCTCTAGATAACAACGAAGATTGGTCATTTGAATATTGGTCGGGAAGCTTAACATCGTCAAAAGGCTCTTTTTAACCTCAACCTTACATTGGTCAGAACCTATCCCTTCTGTCAAAGTTAAGAAAAATGTAAAAGATAAATGGAAACAACGTGGAGCATGGAAAAAATTTATATCGTACCAGCCCGTCAACATTTTGATTGAATTATCAGCGCTGATTAACTGTGATCAAAGGTCAAAAAATACAATTCACAAGCTCCTATATGTTTGCTTTTTTTCTGGATCAGAATAGTTTGTTAGGGCGAGTAAAATTCGAGTGAAGAGACTTTGTTTGAATGGTCACATATGATACCTTTAGGTTAGCATTAAAAGTTATTAAATTCACTAGTTTTCGTGGTCCGCTTGGCCAATTAATATCTTTCAATTAATAAAGGTTTTTAGTTGAGATAAAAAAGTCAGTGTCACGAGCGGCATTCGAACCCACGACCTTCGGCTAGATACGCCGCTACTCTACCACTTGAGCTATCGTAACTTCGATCCACTCGGACACTAACTTCCCATCTCAAAAAGGAGGGAAAATTCAAAGGTGTGGTTGAGATGGGAAGTTAGTGTCCGAGTGGATCGAAGTCACGATACTTTTTTATCTCAACTTAAAACCTCAATTAATTAAATGTAACAATTAAACTTTCTTTCCGCGCTTTTATGACCGATTTCCCCAAGAAAAATCATAAAAAATCTAAATATAACTTACAAGGGGAAATTATAGCCGTTCCAATTAAATATTCTTATAATGACTCAAAAATCAGAAAAATTTTAGTGGTAAAAAATCGATAAATGTAAACTTAATCACAAATTTATATTTAAGGTAGGTGCTAAAACAAAATTTCATTTTAGTTTCACGCCAAAACGAAAAAAAAATATAAACTAGTTTACTGGAAAAATATTTCGTTTTTATAAATATTTTGGTTATTAAATTCATTAGATTTCGCTGTTTCTAATAATTTCTGCCCATCCTCGCTGTTGTGACCTGATCAAAAACGACCATCCTATTTTTCCTTATTAATTAAATCCTTAATTATACAATTTAATGATATTCCTGTCCTATAATTCCTTGGAAACAACGATTTAAATTTGATTTTCAAATTGTAAAGCGGGCAACGAAACTGCGAAAAAATGACAAAAAATATACTTTTGGTTAGTTTCATTTTACAAAAACATCGAAATGGATACAAATTTCAAAACTGGAGTAAACCTATTTTTCACTTCAGAGAAAAAGCGATTCGTCAGGTACCGGGCCCTGCTTTCCGTGTTTTCACAAACAATTTTCCCGAGTGGAAATCTCACGAAAGGTCCTGGGATGAGAAAGTCCAGGAGAACTGGGTCATCCACAAGGCCGGACCTACGTACGCGTATCAAGAAATCAAGAGATGTACAGGCTCAATGAACATCTCCTAGTTGACGTAATCATCAAATCAGACCGGACGGCGAGACGGACGTGACAAAAGAGCCACTTGTAGAAAATGTCTAATTTTTCTCTCAAATGAACCGAAAAGGATCCTTAATTGAACCTCGTTCTCGAAGGTCCTTGATGATTTCGATCTAACCTTTAGCGCTGTTTCAACCTACAAAGCCACGTGTACTAATATCGTAAAAATTGCACTTAGTTAAAAATCAGTACAAATAATTTTTTTTTAAAGGCAATATTCGTATGATGAACATACTTAGGTGTAATTTGAAAGAAAATCTTTACCATTTTGACCAGTGATCTTCGCTCCAGTTAAACGAACCAGTTGGAGTGAATTTCGGTAAAATCCTTTTGGTCCAACCTAAAACATACAGTGTTGATTTCTTCAGATGAAAAATTGTTCTGGCTAAATCGAATTTCCATTTGGAATAATCGCGACCCGGAAAGCGGTCAGAAATTTCTGTCAGATAAGTCCAATAAGATTCATGAATTGTTTGTAATTCTAATACGGAGTTTTAATCTAATCTATTCGTCCCGATTCTATTTTTTTAATGGATAATCCTTATCGCGGACCCACGTTTGAGCTGTCCTCAAAATACTTTTAGGCCGTTTCGAAAAATCCACAGGCCCGAAGTCTTTAATAACCGATCCGATTGCAGAGTCGGCCTTGTAATTTATTCAAACATAATCTCCTGTAACATAATTGACGTTCAAGGA